AGGGCGGGGCCCCAAAGGGAACATTTACCAATATTTTCAAATTCTTATCCTTTGATGACATGACAAGTATTGTATTTCACTTAGTTTACATGCTGATTTCCACATCACATCTAAACAATAAAATAAAGCTACCAGTACCTATGATATAACTCAGGTGACCGCTAAGGCCCTTGGGCCTCTTGTTATTATGGACTGTTTGTATTTTTCTGAGTCAGGAGAAGAGGATTGTACAGATCATGTATCTTAATAAACTAATCTTGTCAAGTTGAGACTCACAGTTATTGTTAATAGTTAAAAAGTTATTACTGAAATGGGTAATAAAACAAAATACAGTGAGGTACATTTGAGCACAAACAAAAATTGATAGATTCTGATGTCTGATTGTGTTGGAGTAAAATGAAGGATATATAACACATTGCATTTCCAGCACACACGCAGGCATACACACATAGGGAGATATTAGCCAGGTGGCATAGGACTAGTAGTTTGTGCTTGATAAGGCAGCTCCTGTGAATTCCTCAAAATTGTATTGATTAATGTATATGATATATATATATATATGCTAATTGTATTAATTGTTTATCTATGTACTGCAAAGTGCTTTAGAGTGGCTTATGTTAGCTAGATTGGGCACTATATCAAATGTTGTATATATTATTATTGTAACATAAAAAGAAGTTATTTTTCTGAAAATTGTGCTTAATTTCAGAAGAATGTGCTATTATATTCTAAAAGACTGTCAATACAGATCTATGTGTTTTTTTCATGAATCTTCAACCATTCAAATTCCCACCAAGAAAAATACAGTAGCCATTTGTTTGGTTAGAGATATAGCTGTAATGATGTTAAATTTTCAAAGTTAAAATGTTTACTGACAGCCCTACAGCCCTACCAAAATCTTGTCTTTACAGGACCTACAGTGCCATGTAGGATGCTCCACTCAGACACGCCTCCACCCCACTTTGACGGTTTCAGAAAGAATAGTACAGGCGATGCCATGGTTACAGCAAAGCAAAATAGGGATTCAAGAAAGATGTTCACCTATGTGACAACTGCAGGTAAAATAAAGAGGTTTATTTCCCTTATCAGACTGTTATTAAATGTGAACCAAAACCAGTTGGTCTGTTTATTTCATGCCTGGAAACTTGTTGCCAAGTCTCGCTAGAAAAAACATCAAATCATTAATTAGGTTCGTCTCTATTTCATAAACAAAAAAACCTGGTCCAACTGTTCTGAACGTGAAAAGGAAAGTTGCAAAGGTGAGGGGCATTGGCATAAATTGTCCACACTCGATGGTCCATGTGCTATCAACTCATCATTATACTTATGTTGTTGGTATAATTAAAATATGTTTTACACTAAATTATTGTTTTTTTTCTCAGAAGACAAAATTTGCTACTGTATACCGGTACATTTGGATGAATTGTCTACCTTGTCCTGTTGACCAAACTCAAGCTGATTTTGGGTGTCAGATACCAGAGTTTTGTCCAAAAATAGGTAGAATACCGTAGGCCAGCTATTTAACTAACCAAAACAATTTAAATGGGCAAGTGAGCTTATATGTATTTATGCATGTCTATCACCTATCTGTCAACATTTCATTTCAAAGACTTCCGGTACTATCCAAAAATAGCTGCAGAAATTTTGACAAAATTTAGCACAGATCTTTCTTGAAGGGAATTTAGTGTGGTGTAAATGGAGATTTTGACTCGTCTAGGGGCTACATCAATAATGAACGGTGTAGCTCTGGTGAATGGGTTGGGGGTTGGCCCAATACCCTGTTCAGGGAAATGGGGGCTACAACATTGCCAGCTTTCCTTTATTTCTCATATGTGAATTTTAACCAAAATTGGTAAAATAATCATTTTATGGCTTTGGAGTTGTTGTTTTTCATGATGACTTAAAAACCAAGATATCTGTCATGTCTTGGCCTTTGATTGACCGAGACTTTTTGACTTCACACAGACTGTGACCCAAATGTATCATGGCTCTCTCCAAGTGTGTATGTTGTTTGTCAGACTAGTTCACAACCAAAGATAGCTGCTTTTTCATTTATTGGCAAGTTTTAAATGTGGTTGGACAAATATTCGCCCTATTTTCCTTACCAGGTGTTGTTATTTAAGTTTTTTGCCTTGAAGAATCTGTACATGTGTAAATGTGTGTTATGATTCCTGTGTGATTCACATATGATTCAAAGGGGTTTCTCATATATGGGGTAAGGTTAAAATGAGAATAAAAAATAACAACAAAGACATCCTGCTTTAATAAAAATTGGAGACTTGGGATGGTTTTCCTTTCAAAGTCCTCGCAAATGATGCAGCTTATTTTTGCTAATTTGGTCTTTCTAAGCATGCAAATTTGTGTGTGTGTTATCCAAGTTTATTCACAAGTGACGAAAAAAAATCCTATTTTGCGCTTCATTTGAATGTCAATAAAGTTTAAAAAAAAAAAAAATGGAACTTTTGTATCCGTTAATATGTTTAAAAGTGTGTGATATTGTGATAACAAAGTAAAAGAAGACTGAAATGTTGAGGCTGAGAAAACCTTTTGGATGACATCCTGTAATACAGGGTGTTGTTAAGTTATAGGTCTCGTCCTATTTACCGTTGGTCTGTTTGTTATTTACAGTCGGAGTGGTCGGAGGCGTGTATGTAGCCAAGCACTTGGTGCGGTCCTTGATTGGATATGTCGCCCCACCTAAAGATACTATTGCCATGGCAACCGTTGAGGTCAATCTCCTGGATATTCCTGAGGGTAAGAGCACCATTGTGAAGTGGCGCTCCAAGCCCATCTTCGTCCGACACAGAACAGCGGAAGAAGCTGAGACAGAGAGGAGCGTCAACTTGGCAGAACTTCGTGACCCACAACATGATGCCGACAGAACCCAGAAGGAGGATTGGCTTGTTGTCATCGGGATTTGCACACATTTAGGTAAATTTCTTTTTTTTTTCCAAATTCAAATTAGAATTGAAATTGTCTTATTAGTATTGACCTAAGAAAAATCCTTATTGACAATTTAAGGAATCGTAATGAATCAAGGTAGTGTTCCAACCCTTTTTTGTGCCCTATACATACATTGACAAATTATTTACCTTTTTGGTCATTTCCTCAATTTTCATACAAAGCAAATAATAGGATGTGGAGTTAAAACATTTTGAAATAATAATTTCAAAAAACAACAACATCAAGACAATTGTGTCAGTGTGTAGTGTATTTGAAAAAGTTCATTATGTCTGGATTGTGCAGAAAAAAAGTTCATTATGTCTGGATTGTGCAGAAAAAAAGTTCATTATGTCTGGATTGTGCAGAAAAAAAGTTCATTATGTAAAGTTTAACATTTTGCTGTGCCATGTTTTGCACCTGATATAACAAATCATTATTGTATAACTACACATCATCATACAGAAATGGTAATAATAATTTGAGGTTTTTATATACCGCTTTATCACAACCTTGTTCGTAGGTCGTCTCAAAGCAATTCACAAATTATTATCCGTGGTTATAGGGCCTTTGCAACCAGCCAATATCTTTCTCAACTCCCTGGGGAGCATACAGCCACTGCTGCCATTTTGGCACTCAAAGCTAGCAGCTAGTAGAAATCACTTTCTACATGTATCATTAATCTATATATTTAGATATAGATACATATTAACCCTTTCACCACCGTAGACCATAATGGGCTCATCCAGATCAATGCATGGAAGAGTTTACTGAAGTTACATAGGGGTGGAAGGGTTAATAGTCAAGGCCCTTATACCTTGACAGTTAAAGTTTGCAGTAATCATTCAAGATATTTGGAAACTGCTACAAGGTTCATAAAATCTCTTATTCAAGGTCAGCTTTCACCAATTGATTTAAGGCAAAATAAAAAAAGGCGTCTGTTTAGGGTTCCTGACCGACCCTAGCTTTTTTTGATGAAAAAAAATAAAAATAAAAATTCTTTTTAAAAAGCCCGCTGATTTTCAAATTTTAGAAGGTTCCTTGCCTTTCAAAATGGCCTCCAAATGAACCTTGTTCATGTAATTCTTTGTTTACATACAATAGTAGGGTCATAATCACATGACCAAAAATATTAAAAAATAAAATAAAAAAAATAACCGACCTACCTACCCTAGTTTTTTTGGCCCATGCAACCCTAAACAGACTATATATTTTTTTTGGCCTAATGTATAACATTGTATACAAAAAGGATTCCGTTTCCGTTTCAGGGTGTATCCCAGTAGCCAATTCCGGGAATTATGGAGGATATTACTGTCCGTGCCACGGGTCCCATTACGATGTTTCGGGTCGGATTCGACGAGGACCAGCACCACTCAATCTGGAAGTACCTGAGCACAGTTTCCCAGAGGATAACCTCCTTGTGATTGGAAGTTGAAAACACAATGGATAGTATTTAATTTTAGGAAATTTGTGAATGTTCTTGTTTGTATTACATTGAATCTGAAAGAAACTCTTGTGAAGTGTTTTATTATTCGCATTACCATCCAAGATGTTCCTGACATCTTCAAGAATAAAGTTATTATGATTGCGATATATGGGTTGTGTTGTACTTAATAAGATAGATATTAGTGAGCTATAATCTAATTTGCCAAGTTTCTGCTTTTGTGTACCAAGTTTAATATCAAGCAAGAGGTTGTAATCAAGAGGCCCAAAAGGCCTTTATAAGGACATGATACAAGTGTTCAAAATATTGAGGTGAGTTTATGATACAACAGCATCACAGGGACTTTTGTCAATAAAACAAAGACTGGAGGACATTCACTCAGTCTGGATAAATCAAGGAGCAGACTGGACATTAGGAAATACTCATTTACTCAACGAATTGTGAGCAACAGGAATTCCCTTCAAGAGAACATGATTCAGGCACCAAATCTTATAACTTTCGAAAACCGCATTGATAAATTTTGGGAAAACGATGAAAGGAGATTCACAACAACATTGGAGTGAAGTCACATCAAAATCGTTGTTATTTATGAAATAAACATGGGCTATGATCTGAATAGAGAGGCAGATATATGCCAGCGTTCAGAATAAACCAAGTTACTGCTCAACTGTTCATCTCGTATCTGGGACCCCAGTGGGTCATCAAACGTTTATTTAAGTAGGCAAAATAGTTCTATTAATAAATCCCCTAGCATATTGTCCTTTATGACCTGTAAATCCCCTAGCATGTTGTCCTGTATAACCTGTAAATCCCCTAGCATATTGTCCTGTATAATCTGTAAATCCCCTAGCATATTGTTCTGTAAATCCCCTAGCATATTGTCCTGTATAACCTGTAAATCCCCTAGCATATTGTCCTGTATAACCTGTAGCATGCTGGGAGGAATTGCTGTCAAGTGTTAAAAATTACCTTGACACACTTTCAAGGTCACATAGGTCAAAGTATGACACTAGTCTTTTAAATGACTTACGATTATCTTAGAGGCCTTGGTTGATGGAATTTTTGCCAGTTTTGATTAAGGACTATAATGACAATGACCCACTTTTAAGGTTAGAGGGGTCAAACTTGATAAAACCTCTTAAACAACTTACGTACAAGTACAAATGCATGTACTTTGTATTGGTAAAATTTAGTGAAAATGAGGTTAAGAATCAGCCAATCAGATTAAAGGAATATTCTTTTAACTACCTTGACCTCTGAGGGGAAACAAAGAGTGTAACGTACGTACGTACAGGCGGAATCCTGTATCCCCTCGAACGTTGAGAGGGGATAATAAAGTTTATATTTAATTGATATTAGTTGGCATGCCAAAAGGGTTTAAGGCGCTAAGAAATGTTTTATGACAAAATATGTGTTCCTCTCTTGTGCCTTGTTAATTTTACTGAAGGTGGTCCCTTGTTTATTTTACTGAAGGTGGTCCCTTGTTTATTTTACTGAAGGTGGTCCCTTGTTAATTTTACTGAAGGTGGTCCCTTGCTTATTTTACTGAAGGTGATATACTTGGCAAGTCCATGGTTTCTGGTGGGAAAAGCGATGCATATAAATAAGTCTTTTTCATGAAAATTTTACGTGTTAAATTATTAGGTTATTTTTGTTGATAAACAGTAACGGGGGAGAGGTAACAAGACGTTAGGTCCAGGACAAAGGTGAGAAAAAAATAACAAAGACATCAGTAAAAATATTACGAATTTTAATACAACTGTTGTCCTCACTAATTTATATCTTCATGTGAACCGTAAGCTTTTATGACAACGACACTTAACGATTTTGAAAATATATCAAACATTGAGTTTAACTGACAAACATCGAGTTTAACTGACAAGTTTAACTGACAAACATCGAGAACTAATGGAACAGGAGTGTGGGTGGTAAGTATAACAGTGTACCAACGAAACTCATACAACTATTGTATTAAAACTCGTAAACAGTATTATTTTCATGCTTTTCATGAAAGGATTCAACCGTGAATTTTACAATGTAACATAAATTTCCAGTTCCAGGTGTTTTTGTTAGATCTATATCTAGACTAAAGACAAACAGGAATACAAACAACGTGATAGAGTTTGCTTTATTAACAAATATACCCTAATGAATAAAAAAAGTTAAAATGCCGTTCCAGACACATTTTAAATACCAAGTGGTATTTCAATGTTGTGAAACTATAAGAGCATAATGAAAAGTTGAGATGTATCATTGTGTTAAAATAGCATGGATCAACCTCTTTACCACGAATTCTGCACTGAACAAATATGATTTTGCTGATGAAAATGTCATAATAACCCTGCGTAAATTCAAAGCTTTCTACAGTAGTATAAAGAAGTGTGTAGGAAGCGCCCTCACGACAGTAATGTACTCAATGTACTGATATAAAGCAGGTTGGAAACAGCTTAACTCTCCTCACTTCTGGAAACGTTACAGTCGCCTCTGGAAGAGCCGTACAGTCCTCTGCAGGAGGTCGTAATGTTCGTCACGTTGTTGATGTACTGTCGTAGTTGCGAGAGGCTGTAGTGTTCACAATCTCATAGGGAACAGATGTACTGTCCTAGCTGCTAGAGGCTGTAGTGTTCACAATCTCATAGGGAACAGATGTTCTGTTCTCTTTACTGGAGACTTCAATGTTACAATCAGCCAGGACCAGATTTTCTGTCCGCAGAAAGTTGCAGCATTTGCAATCGCCTCAAAACTAGTTTTTCTGTCCTCTCCTCGGGAGGTTGTAGTGTTTACAAACAGCTCAGGCACAGCTGTACAGTTATCATTGAAGGAGACTCCAGTGTTAAACTTAAATTTACTTCAGGAACAGCTTTTCTATCCTCACTGCAGGAGGCATTCATGTCAGACTCTTTGTCAACAACCATACTGTTCTCACTACATAAGACTAGTGTTTACACACATAGCACTTGAACAACCATACAGTCCTCACTGCAGGAGGCTAGTGTTCAAGGCCCTATGAGAATATATCCAGTAGCATGTTCTATTGATAAGTCTCTCCATGTTCTTGTACAAATGACCTTTAAATGTCTACAACAATATAAACTTTAAAGAACTTTACTGCCTCTTTTTAATTGAACTATTGTGATGTAAACTTTAGAAGAATTATCAGAATTTATCCACTAGTTGTAAAATTCTGTTCTGTTCTGCCTCTCTAGCTTCCTTGTCTTGGGCTTCTCCAATATTGCCAGCATATTCTGAAAATAGAAATTGGCATATTAAATTCTGATAAAAATTCTTCACTGGTGACTTGTGTCTATACTGTATAGTTTTGTTATTTACTTTCACTTATCCAAAACGATTCATTGGGTAATTTATTTAGGTGATATTTGAAGACAGTGAACATAGCGAACTTAAATTCCCCATAAATAAAAAAATAAAAAATTGAGGCTATTATACTGCTTTTATCACAACCTAGGTTGCCTCAAAGCGGTTCACAAATTATTATCCGTGGTTATAGGGCCTTTGCAACCAGCCAATATCTTTCTCAACTCCCTGGGGAGCATACAGCCAGTGCTGCCATTTCGGCGCTCACATCTAGCAGCTAGCATTCAACAATTCCAGCATTGCCCAACTATGTACTCATTTACAGCTGAATAGACTGGAACAAGTGGAGTAAAGCATCTTTCAAGGATACAACACAGTGTTATGATGGGACTCGAACCAGCAACCTTCGGTCACAAGCCCGGCGTCCTACCATGAGACTACTGTGCCACACATCTTGGTAAACATATTCCTGGACTAAAGTTGTGACCCAGTTGTGCACCTCCAAAAACTTTATTCTACTGTTACAAATTACCCAATATTGTATGTATAAACTCCAGAGATAAGACATGATTGGTGCATTTCTCACGTAACTGCTGTATTCTGATTCCTGCCCAGATTCCAGACTTTAGGTAGTAGGTAGCCTGGCTATTTAGGATCTTTTCTACAGGGCACCAGAGAACTACAGGGCACCAGAGAACTACAGGGTACCAGAGAACTACAGGGCACCAGAAAACTACAGGGCACCAGAGAACTACAGGGTACCAGAGAACTACAGGGCACCAGAGAACTACAGGGCACCAGAGAACTACAGGGCACCAGAGAACTACAGGGCACCAGAGAACTACAGGGCACCAGAGAACTACAGGGCACCAGAGAACTACAGGGCACCAGAGAACTACAGGGCACCAGAGAACTACAGGGCACCAGAGAACTACAGGGCACCAGAGAACTACAGGGCACCAGAGAACTACAGGGCACCAGAGAACTACAGGGCACCAGAGAACTACAGGGCACCAGAGAACTACAGGGCACCAGAGAACTACAGGGCACCAGAGAACTACAGGGCACCAGAGAACTACAGGGCACCAGAGAACTACAGGGCACCAGAGAACTACAGGGCACCAGAGAACTACAGGGCACCAGAGAACTACAGGGCACCAGAGAACTACAGGGCACCAGAGAACTACAGGGCACCAGAGAACTACAGGGCACCAGAGAACTACAGGGCACCAGAGAACTACAGGGCACCAGAGAACTACAGGGCACCAGAGAACTACAGGGCACCAGAGAACTACAGGGCACCAGAGAACTACAGGGCACCAGAGAACTACAGGGCACCAGAGAACTACAGGGCACCAGAGAACTACAGGGCACCAGAGAACTACAGGGCACCAGAGAACTACAGGGCACCAGAGAACTACAGGGCACCAGAGAACTACAGGGCACCAGAGAACTACAGGGCACCAGAGAACTACAGGGCACCAGAGAACTACAGGGTACCAGAGAACTACAGGGTACCAGAGAACTACAGGGCACCAGAAAACTACAGGGCACCAGAGAACTACAGGGTACCAGAGAACTACAGGGCTACAGGGCACCAGAGAACTACAGGGCACCAGAGAACTACAGAGAACTACAGGGCACCAGAGAACTACAGGGCACCAGAGAATTACAGGGCACCAGAGAAACTATAACAAGTCGTAGACACTAACCTCGCATTATACTTTTAATTGATTTGATGGAGCCTCCTCTCATATTCAGAATCTGCATGACTCTTGTTTTAACCTGGAAGACAAAAAAGCCTTTAAGTGAAGTTGAGGCCTGTAATGCATCCCACAAACATACAATATATAGGTTAGACATTGTGTACATTTTACAAAAAAACAAAAGGTATTAATATCTTTCTTGCATTAAAAAACAAGAGGTCCAATGGACCTGCATTGCTGTCCTGGTATTAATCTCACACTTGTAACCTTAAAATTGGACCAAGGTCAAATATAAGTGGAGAAAATCACTAAATAAATCTACTAGCTAAATCTCGTAACCTACGACTCCTGGTGATTCAAAAGAACTTGTTAAAACATTCTAACAAATAGGCCTGGGGCCTTGAAACTCTTACTAGGTCATTCAGTCAAACAACTTGGTTGACCTTCATCCAAGCATACATCTGGCTAGACATTATCAACATTGGCTTTCTGGTTACTGAAAAGAGGTCACTAAAGGTCTAGATCTATATGACCTTGAAAGAGGGTAAAGGTTATTCATCTAAGAATGCCAATAACCCGATATCATCACCCAGTGGCTTTTGGTTATTCTTCAGAAGTCATTAAAAGATTCTGAAAAATTTGATACCTATGACCTTTAAAGTGGGTCAAGGTTATTTGTTCAAATATTCTTGGTAGCCCTTCATCTGAGCATGATCTTAGACAAATATCATCACAACCAGGCCTCTAAGTTATTTAGAAGCTGTTGAATGTTTATCAACACTTTTACACCATGTGATCTTGAATATGGGTGAAGGTCATTCAATTGAAAAAACTTGATAGCCCTTCATCCTAGCATGAATCTAGTCTGATATCAGAATAGGCATTTTAATGTGTTTTTTTAACGCGAGACCCTTGTGATCTTGAAAATGAGTCAAGGTTTTCAACATATTTGACTCCTGTAACCTTGAATATCAGTGAAGGTCATTCATTATAACAAACTGGGTAGCTCTTCATCCCAGCATGCGACTGGCCACAAATCATGACCCTAGCCTTCATGATTATTAAGAAGTCTGAAGTAAAAATTTGATGCCAGGCAGATGCCACACCAAGACATAAGCTCACTTGTGCCATTGGGCCAGAAGCTAAAAATTAAAATGCAAAGATTCTCATTTCATATTAAAAGTCTGTAGTCCCAATGATACATACACAGAACCTTACACAATATCCACTGGTACTAGTTACTACTTACCGACTGTGAGCCTGAGGCACACACTTCCAGCATGATATAATCCACCAGCTGTAACGTGAACAGTCCGGCCTCTAATCGCCGAAGGTAGAACTCATCTTCTAAGTCCTCGTCTATCTCCTCTCCACTGCCTTTGATTTTCTACAGAAGAAATAGCTATTGATATCATATTTCACCAAACTGACATATCTGTCGAGTGACTAGATTTATCTGCTCACACCTGATATTTTGGCATACATGTCAACCTCTGGACCCCGTCCCAGGGAATCTGTCCCTCTGAGCAAACAACCAGAGAGGGGTAATAGGGCTTTAAACTTTTATAACATTTCCTCAGTTCCATGGTGCAGTGAAACACTGTTTTATCCATTAAATGATTATAAGTCATGCATTATTTTGAAAAGTTTCTTTCAACCAAGGGGCCTCAGTGGCCGGGTGGTGAAGGTGTCCGACATCTATAATCACTAGCCCTCCACCACTAGGTCGAGGGTTCGAGACCAACATGCGACATTTGCCAGGTATTGGCCACAGGTCCGTGGATTATCTCTGGGTACACAGCTTTACCTCGACTACCAAATCCTGGCACATCCGTAAATGATCCTAACTGTTAATAGTATGTAGAGCCCAAACAAACACAACCAAAATACAACCACTAACGAACCAGTGATACCCGTTACCACTAATGAACCAATGACCAGTGATACCCATTACCACTAACGAACCAATGACCAATGATACCCGTTACCACTAACGAACCAATGACCATTGATGCCCGTTACCACTAACGAACCAATGACCAGTGATACCGGTTACCACTAACGAACCAATAACCAGTGATACCCGTTACCACTAACGAACCAATGACCACTGATACCCGTTACCACTAACGAACCAATGACCAATGATACCATTTACCACTAACGAACAAATGACCAATGATACCCTTTACCACTAACGAACCAATGACCAATGATACCATTTACCACTAACCAACAAATGACCAATGATACCCTTTACCACTAACGAACCAATGACCAATGATACCATTTACCACTAACGAACAAATGACCAATGATACCCTTTACCACTAACGAACCAATGACCAATGATCCCCTTTACCGCTAACGAACCAATGACCAGTGATACCCGTTACCGCTAACAAACCAATGTCCAGTGATACCAGTTACCACTAACAAATCAATGACCAGTGATGCTCGTTACCACTAACGAACCAATGACCAGTGATACCGGTTACCGCTAACAAACCAATGACCAGTGATACCAGTTACCACTAACAAACCAATGACCAGTGACACCCGTTACCACTAACGAACCAATGACCAGTGAAACCCGTTGCCACTAACGAACCAATGACCAGTGATACCCGTTATCACTAACAAACCAATGACCAGTGATACCCGTTACCACTAACGCACCAATGACCAGTGATACCCGTTACCACTAACGAGCCAATGACCAGTGATACCGGTTACCACTAACAAACCAATGATACCTGTTACCACTAACGAACCAATGACCAGTGATACCGGTTACCGCTAACAAACCAATGACCAGTGATACCCGTTACCACTAACGCACCAATGACCAGTGATACCCGTTACCACTAACGAAACGAACCAATGACCAGTGATACCCATTACCACTAACGAACCAATGACCAGTGATACCCTTTACCACTAACGAGCCAATGACCAGTGATACCGGTTACCACTAACAAACCAATGATACCTGTTACCACTAACGAACCAATGACCAATGATACCATTTACCACTAACCAACAAATGACCAATGATACCCTTTACCACTAACGAACCAATGACCAATGATCCCCTTTACCACTAACGAACCAATGACCAGTGATGCCCGTTACCACTAACAAACCAATGACCAGTGACTCCCGTTACCACTAACGAACCAATGACCAGTGAAACCCGTTGCCACTAACGAACCAATGACCAGTGATACCCGTTTCCACTAACGAACCAATGACCAGTGATACCCGTTTCCACTAACGAACCAATGACCAGTGATACCCGTTTCCACTAACGAACCAATGACCAGTGATACCCGTTTCCACTAACGAACCAATGACCAGTGATTCCCGTTACCACTAACGAAACGAACCAATGACCAGTGATACCCATTACCACTAACGAACCATAGACCAGTGATACCCGTTACCACTAACGAACCAATAACAGTGATACCCGTTACCACTAACGAACCAATGATACCCGTTACCACTAACAAACCAATGACCAGTGACTCCCGTTACCACTAACGAACCAATGACCAGTGAAACCCGTTGCCACTAACGAACCAATGACCAGTGATACCCGTTACCACTAACGAACCAATGACCAGTGATACCCGTTACCGCTAACAAACCAATGACCAGTGATACCAGTTACCACTAACAAATCAATGACCAGTGATACTCGTTACCACTAACGAACCAATGACCAGTGATACCCGTTACCACTAACAAACCAATGACCAGTGACACCCGTTACCACTAACGAACCAATGACCAGTGATACCTGTTACCTTAATTATCCTGTTCACTTAACTGATGTTCAGTAAGGGACTTTTGTCTCCAAAGATGGACAAATCTGGTCAGAATTATAAGGTAGGGGGACCAGACTGGTACCTAGGCCTTCATATCGCTTCACAGAGATCAAACAGTAAATATCGGGTTTCAGAGGGACAATCTCTCTAAAAGATGGAAAGTTGACAGGTATAATTTTGGCTAATGGCCAAATCAAAATATTATAAACTAATCTGATCATTTATTTCTCAAGATCTGTCAGCAAAATGACCAGAGATGTTCAGATCTGGTTACGTAGTGAACATTTCAGAAATAACAACCTCGTGTCATGTTTTGTATATTCCAATAGTCTCATTCATTTCAGAAATACAGGCTATTTGGCCTACTAAGAAATATCCAGGTTTCTCATGACAGTAACTTAAATTACAGATACCATCAAATGTTCATTAATAACACCTGGGGGGTGGAGACCCAACGTCCCTGCAAGGAAGTCAGTTCCGTAGTGGCCACGGTAGGAATCCTGGGGCGGATACCTTAATGGTATTCAACAGTGCTCATCAGGGAAAGCAGAGCAAAGGAAAATAGAAATGATGGGCAACAACACCACTGAATCCGGCACAAAAAGTAATGTTTGATTTACATTCTATGTAAAGGCCATATGACCTTTACGTAGGATGTAAATCAAACATTACATTTTGTACCAGATTCAGTGGTGTTGTTGCTCATCATTTTTTTTCTTTCAAATGTTCATTAAGGTTGCATATAGACAAAATCTGTAAAATTGCTGCTTGTTCAGGATGCGGAAACTGTTATTACACATTAAACCAGATATTGTAGTCAATATCTAGTCATACCAAGTTATGGGACATTTAGAGGTTGACTGGTATAAACTGATATCAGTTTTGTTTATAAAATGCCAGTGAAGACACTGTTGCACACACCTTTTCTGTTGAAACACTGTTCCTATAACTGACAGAGGATATAACCAACTTACTTGTTTCTCTGTGGAAACACTGCTCCTATAACTGACAGAGGATACAACCAACTTACTTGTTTCTCCACTTCAATTTGTTCGTCACATGACCTCACTTTATCCAGGTATTTAAAATGCAATTCAAGTAACCTTTCCACCTGTTAAAAACAACAATGTAATCAAAATGTGTTCGTAATTCAGTCAAAATTTCAATAAAATTATAATATACATTTATTGTGCTTGTTTTACTTACACATACTGTTTTCCAAAGATCAATCATAGTGTGAAGCCCAACTGAACATAATTGATTGGAAGGAAACAAAGTATCGTGTTTCCCTGCCAAGAAGCACAAAATTGATTTTACTGAAATAAAACAACAACACAATAGTAAATATGATTGACACGTCATTGTTGCCGTCTTCTTCAATAACTCGGGTCTCTGGGTTGCTCTTACATATTTTTTCGAGAGAGGCCCCACATAAGGGAAATATGATCAGGGAAATTTGAGTTAAAAGATAAGGTATGATATGGTTTAGATGAATCACTATTCTCAAATTATCAGTCAACAGACAGCATCTCAAAATAAAAACAAAATGATTTCATCCCTATTTATCACCATTTATTTTCTACATTTTACTATTTTCAAAAACATTTATATAGCTTATCCACTTGAAGTCACTTAAAATAGGAAGGTACCAAGTGGCATCAAAAACCATGACCAGGATTTATCTACCTTACGGACAACGAAATGTAGTTCTGACAAAGACTTCTCCAAAAAGAATCATGTGTCACAACTTTCTAAATCAAATATTTCATAAATTTGTATATTCATAAACAATCTAACATTTATTTATTTCAACATAATTTATTATGTAATCTCTAGATTTTCTGTGAACTATGAAAAAACGTAAAATGTGATTATTTTTCTTATACAATAATTCGAGCAGAAACATGAAAGAACAGTGGTAAAACTTTCTGTATTTTTGTTTGTTTTTATTTCCATCCTTCCTCTGTCCATCCTGGCCCAAAAACAGCTCACTCTCCCATAAACCTGAAACTTTCCATAACTCACCCCTTATTTAATAATGAACTATTCCAACATTTGAATTGGAAGAGTTCAGATGAGTCTCCAGGGGTAAATGAGTTAACCTGCAAACTTTGACTTATCTAAATATCTGTTACACTGCTAGACTCCGGAGCGGTTCCATGTATACCTCTTTGTGGACTGTTTACCTTTTCGTGGTCGTTTTCAGTAAATTTACTGAGCAACCTCTGTCGCTGTTGTCCCTGACAGTTCCGCAAAGTTGCAGCTATAATGGAGGATACGTGTTCTGAAACAGAGACAGGTGACATCCTAGACAACAGTATTGTAAAGGGAGTCAAGAATAGCAATGATGGAGGATACGTGTTCTGAAGCACAGACAGGTGACATCCTAGACCACAGTATTGAAAAGGGTGTCAAGAATAGCTATGATGGAGGATACATGTTCTGACACAGAGACAGGTGACATCCTAGACCACAGAATTGTAAAGGGTGTCAAGAATAGCAATGATGGAGTATACGTGTTCTGAAACAGAGACAGGTGATATCCTAGACCACAGTATTGTAAAGGGAGTCAAGAATGGCAATGATGGAGGATACGTGTTCTGAAACAGAGACCGGTGACATCCTAGACCACACTATTGGAAAGGGTGTCAAGAATAGCAATGATGGAGGTTACGTGTTCTGAAACAGAGACAGGTGAAATCCTAGACCACAGTATTGTAAAGGGTGTCAATAATAGCTATGATGGAGGATATGTGTTCTGAAACAGAGACAGGTGACATACTAGACCACAGTATTGTAAAGGGTGTCAATAATAGCTATGATGGAGGATATGTGTTCTGAAACAGAGACAGGTGACATCCTAGACAACAGTATTGTAAAGGGAGTCAAGAATAGCAATGATGGAGGATACGTGTTCTGAAACAGAAACAGGTGACACCCTAGACCACAGTATTGTAAAGGGGGTCAAGAATAGCTATGATGGAGGATACGTGTTTTGACACAGAGACAGGTGACACCCTAGACCACAGTATTGAAAAGGGTGTCAAGAATAGCAATGATGGAGTATACGTGTTCTGAAACAGAGACAGGTGAAATCCTAGACCACAGTATTGTAAAGGGTGTCAATAATAGCTATGATGGAGGATATGTGTTCTGAAACAGAGACAGGTTACACTCTAGACCACAGTATTGTAAAGGGTGTCAAGGATAGCAATGATGGAGGATACGTGTTCTGAATTATCCTAGTCCACAGTATTGTAAAGGGGGTCAAGAATAGCTATGATGGAGGATACATGTTCTGACACAGAGACAGGTGACATCCTAGACCACAGTATTGAAAAGGGTGTCAAGAATAGCTATGATGGAGGATGCATGTTCTGAAACAGAGACAGGTGACATCCTAGACAACAGTATTGTAAAGGGAGTCAAGAATAGCAATGATGGACGATACGTGTTCTGAATTATCCTAGTCCACAGTATTGTAAAGGGGGTCAAGAATAGCTATGATGGAGGATACTTGTTCTGAAACAGAGACAGGTGACATCCTAGACAACAGTATTGTAAAGGGAGTCAAGAATAGCAATGATGGACGATACGTGTTCTGAATTATCCTAGTCCACAGTATTGTAAAGGGTGTGAAGAATAGCTATGATGGAGGATACATGTTCTGACACAGAGACAGGTGACATCCTAGACCACAGAATTGTAAAGGGTGTCAAGAATAGCAATGATGGAGGATACGTGTTCTGAATTATCCTAGTCCACAGTATTGTAAAGGGTGTCAAGAATAGCTATGATGGAGGATACGTGTTCTGAAACAGAGACAGGGGACATCCTAGACCACAGTATTGTAAAGGGAGTCAAGAATAGCAATGATGGAGGATACGTGTTCTGAAACAGAGACAGGTGACATCCTAGACCACAGTATTGTAAAGGGTGTCAAGAATAGCTTTTAATGCACTCACCCAGGACTAATAGTTTTCATTTAACTACCAAAACAATATTCACTATCAAGTTTTCACTCGCCCAAACCCGAAATCTTTTAGCCCAGGCCATTGGGCTAAAAAGTTTTTGTACAAGCAGAGAATACTGCAAATTCTTAATACCAGGTAATTCAGGAACATGAATGTGCATGCTTCTTTTTAATCTGTAATTATTAGTTAAAATATATCATCCTAAACTTCATGGCTAGAATTTTAATATATCTACCAAAGGTTTCCCCTATTGGGCCCCACCCCACTACCCATGGGGCTCCACATGGTTTATTCATACGAAATGTAATCCCCCTTGACATAGTGATGCTTCATACTAAATTTAGTCAAAATCCTTCCAGTTATTCAGGACTACTAGGGCCTGTTCGTTTATGTAGAACAAATGGTTTGGCTGTTTTTAAATGTTACATTTCGGGTAGTAATACTAGCGGACCGGCAAATGTTTATGCAGGCCTTGTAAGGCTTTGTCAAGGCTCGTCTGAGAGCAGCATCAGATTACTAGGTCCGACCTTATTTCATAAACGAACTGGTCCAACCGGTTCAGCCATTTAGACCGTGATAAAAGAAAACGACCCTGGCCTCTTCGACAAAAGGTTCAGGGACCAACGACAGGATGCACCACCACATATATCATAAGCTGCATTTGTTCACGTGAATTCAAAGAAGTAATTTTTACTTCCCATTGTTTCAACCACTCCGCTAAATAAACTTTATACCCAAACTTTCAGGGATTTCTCAACCATTTCAGTACCTTCCAGTTCCTCTGACTGAGGCCCTGCTTTGCCTTGTCTAGGAGCTTTCATGAAGAGAGGGAAAACTGTTCTCAGGCCAAGGATGTCAACAAACTTTTGACAGTTGTCTATCCCTTCTGGTCCGGTCATGGCGTGGTTCAATACTTTGACTGCACAATTCCTCGACATCTTCTTCTCTCTGTTGGTATAGTATGAACGTTAAAACAAATGGAAAATTGACAATCAAAGTGTTATAATTTCTATGTCTTCATTTCAAACTTTGGCTTATACAACCTGATATTATAAGTGTTTTTTTCTTTAAAACAAAGTTTTTGGATTCTAAAAAAGTCTTTTTAGTCGTTCTTGTAAATAAATAATAATGCTAGAATAAAATGATGAAAGAACCTGTTTAAAGATTTAAACACATTTGACCCCTGTGACCTTGAAAGTCGAACAAGGTCATTACATTGAACAAACTTGAAAGCCCTTCATCTCAGCATGCAACTTGCCGAATATCACCACCCTAGGCCTTGAGACCAGGTGAGCTAATAAAACCAGCCTGTGTACTGATAGGACAATTTAAAACAAACCTGTGACCAGTATGTACCTTAACATGAGGTTCATGAGCTGTAGCCCCTCCCCCTTCAGAAAGCGTGCCCTGTTCATGTTCTGCATCAGACAAGAGCACAAAGAATTGAAGAAGTTCTCCATCATTTCTACTTCCTCTTTGTTACTTGGATCATGTCGCTTGTACGCCTGTTAAAGAAATTATCCCTGTATCAATATTAAAGGCTTCAACCAAAATGTATACAACCCTTGTAAGGCTTCAATCAAAATGTATACAACCCTTGTAAGGCTTCAACCAAAATGTATACAACCCTTGTAAGGCTTCAAAATGACAACCTCCACTTGAAGAACATTTAATTATTTATGAATAACATTTAAAACCCAGAGAGTTATAAATAAGATAATACTTTATTGAATAAATAAGACAGACTCACCGCCAGCTGTTGTAGTAATATATCGATGCCATCTATATCTCCTAGCATTGTTCTATTTTCTGCAATAGGAAAAAACAGATACGTTAATTATTTGTTAGTGTTTAACAATTTATCTATAATCAGAACTTATCAGACATAGTCTAGTTCCAAAAATCAAAACCAATTAAAATTTTACCCATGAGGTATTCTAATTTGTGCAGTCTGTTTCTGAAAGTACTAAACTATATTTGTTCAGTGACAAATCCTCTTACTGTATAGATATTCATTCACCGGTGACGCCGTGTTATCTTTGTGCTGTTTACCAATCTTATAGTACATTGTAATAACAATACCACAATAAACAAGTTAGGCTACCAACTCTGGAGATTTCCAAGGCAGTCTGTGAGACCACTGCTGGTAACATAAACTGATTGTGTGTAGACTTATACAGTCATATATTCTGTTAATATTTTCTTCATGTTCCCAGATCATGGGACAAAGAAAGGGCATTTGTGTCTTACCCTCACTATTTTGGAGCAATATGGCAAGTATTTCACTGGCGTAGAGTTTATTGGCGTCAAACGGCAACTTTGCCTATTAACAGCAAAAACAAAATCATTACAGTTTATCATAAACATACAAATGAAACTAGAATATTCTTCCAAGATCAAATCTTTCCTCACTTGAACCTCATCACTTTTAGTAATTTGAGTGCAATTATTCACTTCTTCAAATAGAAAAGGCAACAAGGGAAACCACTTGCCATCATCATTTCAATTTGTTGTTGTTGTCATGTTTGACATATTTAGCACACAACTTCAGTTACGCGTTTACTTGATCAAATCTGTAAACCTTTCTAAAGGTCAAATATCATGACTCTTGGTCTTATGGTTTCAAAGAAGAATTAGTGGAAAATTGAATTTAGAATCAGCACAATATCACTAGTTTGGCAAAGTCATGAATGGAGCATTTCAGCAAACTCTGGTCAAAAAGTATATTGGTCATTCTTGAGAATTTGGGAATATGAGAACTCATTTGAATCATGGTCTAATCCTGAAAGTTTTGTGGGTGAAAATTCTTCAGAAGAGGATGACAATGTTAAAGGTTAAAGGAAAGACAATCACCTGATTAGACACTTCAGCATAGCATAAGACACAGAGGGCTGGCAAGTTAAAAACTGTGTGACAGATTTTTTATGGTACTAGTCGGCCAAATATACTTTAAAACACACTTATTGGTGACGCTGGAGTATATTGTGATTATATCCATTTTCTTCTATGGTTCATGTAGCATCATAAAAGTCTCCTCCACAGAAAATGTATTACTATAAAAACACTCTGCGGTACACACCTTTATACGTTTCAGTAACCACTGTAGGAGTCCCTGCTGCGCTGCATCACTCGACATCTGTGGGCGAAACTCCATCATATTTTCTACAATGGCTGAAGTTCAAAATGAATCATTTCTGTATAAAATCTTTCTATCCAGTAAACAGTACAAAGTCTATGAATCATTCAAGCAAGTGTTAGCGGTAGCAGAATCTGTTTTTTGGTTTTGTCTGGTCTGGTTTGTTTGTTTTTAACGTCCTATAAACAGCTGTGATCATTTAAGGACGTGCCAGGTTTTGGTGGTGGAGGAAAACCGGAGTTCCCAGAGAAAAACCACCGACCTACGGCCAGTAGCTGGCGACTGCCCCACGTAGGCTTCAGCCTGCGACCCAGTGGTGGAGGGCAAGAGGTAGCAGAATGTCAGACACCTTAACCACTTGGCCACTGCAGCCCCACCTGTTTTTAAGTTCCTCAAACTCCTAATGCAATCACAAAGGATGCAGAGTAGCAACCCGTGTATTTTCATCAAATAATATTCAAATAACCCAGTTATACTGTGATATAGCTGCTGTAATTGCTTCAGCCAATTTAAGTAAAATAAGATATAACTGTGATTGTTTCAGCCAATCAGAGTAACCTATAGCTGTGAATTATTCAGCCAATCAGAATAAACTAAAGATAAAGCTGTGATTGTTTCAGCCAATCAGAATAAACTAAAGATAAAGCTGTGATTGTTACAGCCAATCAGAGTAAACTATAGCTGTGAATTATTCAGCCAATCAGAATAACCTAAAGATAAAGCTGTGATTGTTTCAGCCACTCTTCCAAAGTAGGAACAAAGGCTAAATTATAGCTAAAGAACAAAGACTAAACGGTTTTGTACCATTCTGGAAGACTTTTTTAGGGTAAACAATCAACCTTTTGAGAATTTGAGAATTCTTTTTCCCCAGATTTTACAGGTAAATGGTACATATATTTCATGACGTAAAATGTCCAGTATACAGTATATATATTTTGATAATTTGATCCTAAGCGCTTGCCCTCGTACATTTTGTAAGTGAGGTTTATAAAGGGTTAGTTACCTAGTGTGTTGTGTACCCCGTCCGCCTCCTCCTTGATTGTCTCGTCTAGTCGGTCCATATTCTGCACCAGCAATGCCACTATCTGTGCCTCAAGCTGAAAACGACAACATCAATATTTCATTTTTCAAGGATTTCTTATAGCTGCACACCTTAAATACAAGGACAAAAGTATTGGTTATATGTTGATATTGGTCCTGATTCCATCAGAGAAAATGGTATTTGGGCATTATTCAATAATAAACATGATTCTATGTCAATTTTATTTAAAACTGTATGTAAAAGAGAAGAAGTCGCTCAGTAAACAAACTAATTAAAATCTATGTTCAAATCACTGGTTAAGTTAAATTACGAGTTATCTTTTATACAGCGTAATGGCAGCACCGGTGGTATACTCCCCAGGGAGTTGAGGAGGAAGATATTAGCTGGTAGCACAGGCCCTATAAGCAAGGATAATAATTTGTGAACTGCTTTGAGACGACCTAGGAACTAGGTTGTGATAAAGTGGTATATAAGAACCTCAAAATATTATTATCAAATTATTACAATTATGGAATCGAATTCTTGACAAATTCTTTATAATGACTTGATACCTAACAGGCGTCAGAACACAAACAAAGGAGGTGTTCAGTTGTGTGACAACCTCACTCACAAAGGAGGTGTTCAGGTGTGTGGCAACCTAACTCACAAAGGAGGTGTTTAGGTGTGTGACAACCTAACTCACAAAGGAGGTGTTCAGTTGTGTGTCAACCTAACTCACAAAGGAGGTTAGTTGTGAGACAACCTAACTCACAAAGGAAGTGTTTAGTTGTATGACAACCTAACTCACAAAGGTGGTGTTCAGGTGTGTGGCAACCTAACTCACAAAGGAGGTCAGTTGTGTGACAACCTAACTGGCAAAGGAGGTGTTCAGGTGTGTGGCAACCTAACTCACAAAGGAGGTCAGTTGTGTGACAACCTAACTGACAAAGGAGGTGTTCAGTTGTCTGACAACCTAACTCACCAGTGAATCAACCAGAGCAGCAGCACCCTCTTCACTTTCGTTCAGCGTAGCAACATCGGTCAGTTCCTGTACGAGGTCCACTACAGCAATAGATATATCGTGTGTGGCAACCTAACTCACAAAGGAGGCGTTCAGTTGTGTGACAACCTAACACACAAAGGATGTGTTCAGTTGTGTGACAACCCAACTCACAAAGGAGGTTAGTTGTGAGACAACCTAACCCACAAAGAAAGTGTTCAGTTGTGTGACAACATAACTCACAAAGGAGGTGTTCAGCTGTGTGGCAACCTAACTCACAAAGGAGGAGTTCAGTTGTGTGACAACGTAACTCACAAAGGAGGTGTTCATGTGTGTGGCAACCTAACTCACAAAGGAGGAGTTCAGGTGTGTGACAACCTAACTCACCAGTGAATCAACCAGAGCAGCAGCACCCTCTTCACTTTCGTTCAGCGTAGCAACATCGGTCAGTTCCTGTACGAGGTCCACTACAGCAATAGATATATCGTGTGTGGCAACCTAACTCACAAAGGAGGTGAGTTGTGGGACAACCTAACTCACAAAGGAAGAGTTCAGTTGTGTGACAACCTAACACACAAAGGAGGGGTTCAGTTGTGTGACAACCTACCTCACAAAGGAAGTGTTCATTTGTGTGACAACCTAACTCACATAGGAGGAGGTCAGTTGTGTGACAACCTCACTCACAAAGGAAGTGTTCAGTTGTGTGACAACATAACTCACAAAGGAGGTGTTCCGTTGTGTGACAACCTAACTCAAAAAGGAGGTCTTCAGTTGTGACAACCTCACTCACAAAGGAAGAGTTCAGTTGTGTGACAACCTACCTCACAAAGGAAGTGTTCATTTGTGTGACAACCTAACTCACCAAGGAGGTGTTCAGTTGTGTGAAAACCTCACTCACAAAGGAGGCGTTCAGTTGTGTGACAACCTACCTCACCAAGGAGGTGGGCAGTTGTGTGACAACCTAACTCAAAAAGGAGGTCTTCAGTTGTGACAACCTCACTCACAAAGGAGGAGTTCAGGTGTGTGACAACCTAACTCAAAAAGGAGGTGTTCAGTTGTGTGAAAACCTCACTCACAAAGGAGGCGTTCAGTTGTGTGACAACCTAACACACAATGGAGGTGTTCAGTTGTGGGACAACCTAACTGACAAAGGAGGAGTTCAGGAGAGTGATAACCTAACTCAAAAAGGAGGTGTTCAGTTGTGCGACAACCTAACTCACAAAGGAAGAGTTCAGTTGTGTGACAACCTACCTCACAAAGGAGGTGTTCAGTTGTGTGACAACCTAACTCACCAGTGAATCAATCAGAGCAGCAGCACCCTCTTCACTTTCGTTCAGCGTATCAACATCGGTCAGTTCCTGTACGAGGTCCACTACAGCAATAGATATATCTACAACAAAAATAATTTAAAAGTCAATACATGTAGAAGAACTGCACCCAAAAGCTACTGACCTCAAATACAATCAATAAGGAGATCATATCATTTGGCGGATTACTGTGTACATGAACCAGGAAATTTTTGCTGCAGTTTAATGTTTGGCTTTTTTTGCCGTTTGCAATGAGGGTGAATTTATCATAAAAGTGAATATAGGTGAACAGCATACCCTATATAGCTTTTACATTTTATGTGCAAAAACACTGGGCAAACATGGATTTTACTAGTGAAGGGTGAGTATTTTACTGGGCGAAAGTTTTTCAGTACGGGTATACAGAATTTTCAGGGATTGAGATGATATTTTTAATTCGCTAGGCATGTTTGTGATGACGAAAATTTGATCCATGTAATAATGATACACATAGCAATGTAACTAATATCCATATTACACAGCAATGTAACTAATATCTTTATTACACATAGCAATGTAACTAATATCTATATTACACACAGCAATGTAACTAATATCTATATTACACACAGCAATGTTACTAATATCTATATTACACATACCAATATAACTAATATCCATATTACACATAGCAATGTAACTAATATCTAAATTACACATACCAATGTAACTAATATCCATATTACACATACCAATATAACTAATATCCATATTACACATAGCAATGTAACTAATATACATATTACACATAGCAATGTAACTAATATACATATTACACATAGCAATGTAACTAATATACATATTACACATAGCAATGTAACTAATATACATATTACACATAGCAATGTAACTAATATACATATTACACATAGCAATGTAACTAATATCTATATTATACATAGCAATGTAACATGTAACTAATATCTATATTACACATAGCAATATAACTAATATCCATATTACCCATAGCAATGTAACTAATACCCATATTACACATAGCAATGTAACTAATATCTATATTACACCTAGCAATGTAACTAATATCCATATTACACATAGCAATATAACTAATATCCATATTACCCATAGCAATGTAACTAATACCCATATTACACATAGCAATGTAACTAATATCTATATTATACATAGCAATGTAACATGTAACTAATATCTATATTACACATAGCAATATAACTAATATCCATATTACACATACTAATGTGACTAATATACATATTACACATAGCAATGTAACTAATATCTATATTACGCATACCAATGTAACTAATATCCATATTACACATATCAATGTAACTAATATCCATATTACACATAGCAATGAAACTAATATCCATATTACACATAGCAATGAAACTAATATCCATATTACACATAGCAATGAAACTAATATCCATATTACACATAGCAATGTAACTAATATCCATATTACACATACCAATGTAACTAATATGATAATATACATATTACTACAATGTTGCCTACTATTATTACCATATGATTATTGGTAGTATCACAATGTATGTAGGCAATCTTAAACTCATTCACCCCTACATATCTAAACTGGACTTGCCCAGTCATTGATTTGGTAAGGTTCAATTGTGACTTTAGGGGTTTATGAGTTACAGATCTGGTGATGCCACAATTGTTTTTGGTTTGTTTTAATAACAAGTGTACTTTGAGATATGGAGATCAGTACATTATTGGTTGAAACTTGAAATCAGGGGCAATATCTACAATAATCAGATACTTTTATATCACCAGCTCATAAATTTGTAATCTGTGTAAACTTAACTTCTTCATTTTAAATAAAAATCGTGACAATTTTAACCCACAAAATCAACCAGACACTATGAGTAGAAATCTACAGGAGAAGTCTACAGCACTACACTGTTGGGCGTGGGGTTATGTTTACGAAGTCTACAGCACTACACTGTTGGGCGTGGGGTTATGTTTACGAAGTCTACAGCACTACACTGTTGGGCGTGGGGTTATGTTTACGAAGTCTACAGCACTACACTGTTGGGCGTGGGGTTATGTTTACGAAGTCTACAGCACTACACTGTTGGGCGTGGGGTTATGTTTACGAAGTCTACAGCACTACACTGTTGGGCGTGGGGTTATGTTTACGAAGTCTACAGCACTACACTGTTGGGCGTGGGGTTATGTTTACGAAGTCTACAGCACTACACTGTTGGGCGTGGGGTTATGTTTACGAAGTCTACAGCACTGCACTGTTGGGCGTGGGGTTATGTTTACGAAGTCTACAGCACTACACTGTTGGGCGTGGGGTTATGTTTACGAAGTCTACAGCACTACACTGTTGGGCGTGGGGTTATGTTTACGAAGTCTACAGCACTACACTGTTGGGCGTGGGGTTATGTTTACGAAGTCTACAGCACTACACTGTTGGGCGTGGGGTTATGTTTACGAAGTCTACAGCACTACACTGTTGGGCGTGGGGTTATGTTTACGAAGTCTACAGCACTACACTGTTGGGCGTGGGGTTATGTTTACGAAGTCTACAGCACTACACTGTTGGGCGTGGGGTTATGTTTACGAAGTCTACAGCACTACACTGTTGGGCGTGGGGTTATGTTTACGAAGTCTACAGCACTACACTGTTGGGCGTGGGGTTATGATGTAAACATATCAAAGTTTTACTTTATACACTAACAATGTACGCATCAAATGTGTCATCGCGTTTCAAGACTGACTGGTCCCTTTGTCAAAATCAAGAAAACTCAAAATATGAACAGAGATGAGGGGGACACCAGCATCTGTATGACATGATACTGACATGATGGGAGATGGGGTTAGATATACACCCTACCAGTAACCTGTTCGACATACTGTGTATATACTCTTCATCAAAAGGTGAAATGTCCCGGGTCAAGTGACAGACGGAATATAAAATTTCATCTTATCGTTGTACAGGTAAACAATACAAATCGATCTCTCAGTCATAGCTTAACAAAGGGACCTGTACATGTCAGTCCTGAAACATTACAACACGATTAATATGTATATTGTTTGTGTATAAAGTAAAACTTTGATATCACATATTTCCAAACTGAGGAATCTTATTGAAGATGTTAACATTATGAATACTCAATTTGCATAAAAAATCTACAATAGAATAACTGATCAAGTTCCATGTGACATTTAAGACTTCTCATGCCAGCAGTGAGAGTACTGTCTGACCTGTATTTTCGTGAGCCACTAACTGCATTAAGGAAGTGACAGTGTTGAGGTCCACTAGGATATGATACTGGTCCGGGATGGTGGCAATCACATGCATTTCCTGTACAACATCATTCAGTTCTAGTTCTGATTCCATGAATCTGAAAAGATAATAATCATATAATATTTAGAGTAGGTCTAAATTCATGTATATAGTCATGTGATAACCATTCCAAACCAGCCAAACCCTAAAGAAACAGCAGGAACAGATCAGGACTGAGGCTAACATGTGGGAGATTTGGCACATGCATATTGAGCGGTCCAGACGTGCCTGGCCCAAGCTAAAAGGCTGATGATTGCTAGCTATATTTCTACCTGAAATAATATAAACAAGGTCAAATCACGTACATAGGTTTTAGGACATGTTTTAATGTTTTAAAATTTAGTACAAGCAATCCCATGAGAAAAACACATAATTATTGATTCATTTGCTACAATAATCTGAAACTGTACATTTCTGCTTTTTAGGTTAGCCAATTTCTAGGCAAATTGCATTGATCTATTACAAAATATTTTTGTGCCATTTGTATTGTTTCAGCCAAGGATACACTAAAGCCAGCCTAGGGCTGGACATTGTGTCGGAGAACAGTTGGCTTATTGGAAAATTGGAAAAAAATGGATTTTGTTGGAATATTGTAATACAAAGATAAATCCTAAGCTCAACACACCTGGCTGTGCTGAGAAGTATACTGGTCTGTTCACTTTTAGACTATAATAAAAATAGATCAGGTGACACAGATATACCCACTCAGCCAGATATATATAGATATATACAAGCCTTCTTTGAAGCGACCTGCACTGGATTATGCTGGTGATCTATAACATGACCAAGAATTGAATCTATTAATTAAAACATGTTTTATGTTCCTGCTAAAATGTTTGTGCATAATTATTATTTTTGCAATGTTTTATTTCTTTTTGTAGTAACCTAGACCTCCTGAGGCCATGACCTCATCAGTACACTTTCATGTAATTTACAGTCTAGATCTGTAGCACAATAATAACCTACATGTATAGCGAATTCAACCCATTGTAAATGTATTTTCACATACTTATTAAAACTATATCATACTTACTTCTCTGGTAAATCAGGATATTTAATTCTCTGTTCCTGGTTTTTGTAAACTTTCTTTTCAAAATTGAGGAGCATTTTCTTCAGACTTGTTTCATCTAATGCTTCAGGCTGAGGAAAACCATAAATGTGTGAATTAATTACATGTATGACAAATATTGACCAATCACATTACAGCAAGCTATTTTTTTTCTCAATATCAAACTTGGCCTTCGTTTTCTTGACCACAATTTGTTGAAGTCAGATGATATTTAGTGAAGTTATTGATAGGAAACCAATTCTGTAGTGGACAGATAGTGCAACAGAGGCCATTACATCTAATCATGACTTCAATTTGATGGGTGTATATAAGACTGTTCATTGTAAGTATTACCTTTAAATGATGATTTTTAATAACCTACAGTGTTGTACATAACTAGCTATATAGATAGCCCTTAATCTTGTAAAAATATTTTCCATTTGGTAAATGAAGTCTTGCATAATAAAATATGTTTTATTCTAGATCTCATTAAATTATTTCTCAGAGAAATGTGATAAGAGATATTTTCAGAATGTTTTCAACTGTCAGAATTTCTTAATCAAGATCACAATGAGGAAGGTGGGTAGAGAAGATTGTTGAGTAAAGCCATGCCTTTCGATCTTCTTCACCTACAGATGCTCCATAACCACATGAGGTTAAACCTTTCATTAATACTTCTTCAGGATTTACACCTTAATCATTCCCCTATTGGGCACTGCCGCTTTGCCCTTAGAAGTCCAAAGCCATGCAATCTGGATTCCACTGTTCCCTGAATACCGCTGCTCTATCAAAAATAATTTTCATACCCCTTCATCCATACTTACTGTAGTCCCATAATTTATATATAAGTCTCCTAATTGGAACCCATCCCTCTGCCCCAAGTGGATTTATACTCTTCATTTAAATAACACTGAGTTACTTTGACATGGGACAATGCTTCAAGCCACATCATATTCATATATCGTCACCAAAACTTAGGTAAATATTATTTTTAAGAGTTACCCTTATAGATCTACCTTATTGGGCCCTGCTGCTCTGCCCCTGACCCTTGATTTATATATATATATAATATTTTTTTTATAGAACATACACTGATCCCCCTTGCTCCATGGAGGCTTCACACCAAATAGCTCTCTAGGCTTGTCAAGCATGCTCAGTTTATAAATCTGTTGTGATATTTGTTTATTACCTTTACTTTGTATAGAAATTAAACATTTCTTTGCAGCTCTACACATTTTATGTTTTACAAACTTTCAATTCAACAAAAGTTGTTGCTAGCCCACTTTCTGATCAACCATCTAGTGTCTTAATAATACCTACCTCTGGTTCATTTTCAATCATTTGTAATATTTTCTCCCTTTCAGCTTCCATAACACTGGTATCAATACTATCAGCATCTGCAAATCTTTTCTTCCTTTCACGACCTGTGTCACCATTTTCTTCATCATGGCCCTTCCGCTTCCCTGTTGGTGCCGGCTTTTTGGGCTTATTAAAAGAAATCAGAACAGATAGAAAAGATGCAGTCATCAATATCCCTGTTCCATAGAGAAAACATGATACACAGTTACATTGTAGAATTTATACATTACATACTATGTGAATAGTACAAAGTGCACTAAAGCATAAATGAAGGTAAAATGCAGCAAATGCAACACAATTTTGGTAGAGCAACCCTAGTTGTGCTATTGATACAAACTTGTATACTTGGTTTGGTTTGTTTGTGTTTTATGTCCTATCATAACAGCTAGGGTCATTTAAGGATGTGCCAGATTTTGGTGGTAGAGGAAAGCCGGAGTTCCTGGAGGAAAACCACTGACCTACAGCCAGTACCTGGCAACTGCCCCACGTAGGCCTCGAATCTGTGACCCAGTGGTGGCGGGCTAGTGGTAGCAGAATGTCAGACGCCTTAACAACTTATATTAATTAGCCATCGCGGCTCCTGAAACAAACTTGTAAAGAGAATGTTATCCATGTAGCTGTTACTTATATGGTAGTTACCTAGATATGGAGGAAACAAATCTTCATAACCCTGATACATGTACAATAGATAAGAGAATTTCATCTTAACAAAATCACTGAGGTGTAAATAATAAGCCAACTTCATAATCAGCACCTGCAATATGAATTCAGTAGAGCAACCTTAATAGCAGAGGTATGAAAATTAATTTATGTTCAAAGTATTTGCTCAGCTGTATCCCACTAAATTACAGTCAGCTTATTTATTCACTTATATCTACAGCTTGCATAGATGGATGAAGCAAACACATGCAAAACATGTTTAATTAACAAGTCTTTTTCAACTTTCCTTAGCTTTAAAACTGGCTGCCCCAGCTGTCAAGCAAGTGAATTTTCACCCCCTGCTCAGATGCATCATTGATGCCTGTATAAAATATATGCTCCATGTAGCACTTATAATTACCAATATATACGGATGAAACAGTTCCATTTAGCTATAGCCTGATGTACATGTACATAAGTCAACGAAAATATGCATAAAATGTAGGTCAAATTCAACAGCCAAAACATGCATTCAGAATAGCAACACTTAATTGATGAAAGTGAAATCAATGTAGCACTTTAAAGTCATCACATCCAAATGGACAAAACTATCCTCCGAACCACCTACACATGATGAACACACAGATGGACTCTGCTCATTTAGGGGATAACAAATTTGTGATGCAAATGTTGAATATATTACAACCACGGAATTAGATTAGATTGTTATTCTGTAACATTCTGTGAATGGCTAAGATTTAACATCCCAACTTTGGTATTTTAGGGGAGGGGAATAATGTTACAGATTAAACTTAGCCCTCAACGGTGATAACCCTTTGAATCCCCCTCAGTTAATGCACTTCAGTAGTGTTTAGTATGAGACAACTAATTATCTCCCCTTTAATAGGACGGAGATAGAACATAAACGCACAAGGTTTGGTGTACACTTCATTTAATGTTTTATTATATACTGGAGCATATTCACATACTCGCTTTCCATGCACCAATGGAAAGGTTATTTATTCATCTCTTCCACTGTACCAATACAAATGTTGACAACAACAATTTGATATTTTTTATTGAAGAGCTTTTCTCCAATCATCAAAAACCTTTAAAAGAGGACATTCATGTAGAAAATGACCCAGCCTATCAAATTCAAAATTCTTTGTTTTATAAAGATGACAACTTTTCAGATAATATGCAAGGTAGACATTAACAAATTACTGTATAAAACGAACTAGAATGTACAAACAATGCCTTAGTTAAGTGTATGGAATCAAGGGAGATAACCAAATGATGTGGGTAAAACGTTTCGGTTTCTGTAAAATACAGCCATGATTATAATATGTTCAAGATTACGATGAGTGTGATTAATTTGATTAACTTGTTGTTGTCATCAAAGTAAAAATCAAATTGAAATTAAAGATAGACTGTTCATAAACACGTGTTTTCATTGCGCATCTTTCTTACCTGGAAAGTTAATAGTTCTTCTACGTCCATGTTGTTTTGTGTGTATTGTCGGAATCTCTCGAGTGATGCGAAGTGATATCGTAAGTCTTATGAAAAGTCCAGAGATAATCGAATGAACTCAATGTCATATGACCTCGCCCTGCCAATGAAATTATAGCAATGGCGGCGTCTATTGGATGAAGTGTGATTACCGTTACAACTTACAGATACTTTTTTCTTGAAATTGAAACGAAACCATTACCAGACGTTTGTTTAAATCATTCATGGTTCAACTGCTTATCCTGATGCAGCCGTGCGATCTGGATTGATCGCTTTCGTCCAGGTATAATGAAGACAATCATTCATGTTCACCCGGCTTTATTCCAAGAGGTTTCCATCATATTTTTGCTGTGCATAATGGATTTTCTATTGCTGAATCGCTATTTTGTAACTAATGTGTTAATGACTATCAATATGAAATTGACAACGACTCAATGTGATGAATGTTGATATACTTTTTGTATCCGCATTATTTGAGGGTTTTTTCGCTGATTGTTAGTGTGCGTGAAAGTAAATATTATGACCATGATGGATTAGGAAACTGCACATGGACATGGCACAGTTTCACGATTTTCTCTGCAATATTATTGATCTTTTACTGGCTTCATTAGCAAACGACCACATACGACTATGTAACACTCAACAAATTAAGATATCACGAACAATTTAAGCATTTTTACAACATCACTTAGTGACCTACCTTTCACATGCATCAACTTCCTAGAGCAGTGTATTCTATTAGTGAAGAACTGAAATACCTTGATTCCAAGTTTGGTTCAAGGGTTGGAGGAGGGTGTGTACAATTTACTTTGTTTGTAATATGGTTTTTTAAAGTGCTGATTAAGTCAGATCGCATGCAAGCACACGATCTTCTGGGAATAACGTTTCATCATCAGTGTACATGTGGTATGTGGAAAGAATGTGTAGCCGAACTGGACTAGTAGGTCAAGCGTTTGGAGGTACCAGATTCAAATCCAAGTCTGGCTGCTGCATTTGCCCTTTCTTGTTAAATTTGGCTTCCAACTAAATATACTTACAGATCTAGAGGTGGAATAGGGTCTTGTTTGTCTTTGAGGGCAATTACTTTGTGAAATGAGGGAGGAATGTAGCTGAACTGGACTGTGATTTCTGAGGTGATAACTCGGAGGTGTACAATTCTACCAGCTCATCTATATTTTCATAGTAAATTCTGAAATTGATTTTTCATTAGATCTGACATAATATCTTACAGGCCCTCCTGGCCAGTGGAAATCTACACCCATATAATTCTAAAAATACTATACATGAACATGAATAATTGATTAGTTTTACATAATTTAATATTCTTCACTTAAAAATGCAAAAATCATACAATGTGTCAACTGTTTTGTTATTAAGATATCTTTGTATTACAGATCGAGCAGAAACCGTGAAGGATGGATGTAGGGGATGAAGCAGCATTAGTGAACAAAGAAGAGGAAGAAGATGGACCTTCAGACCAACAAGATAATTTTGTGGAAGAGGCAAGTGATAAAGAAGACTCCTGTTCATCTGGAGGAGAAAGTCACAGTGACGTTGAAGAAGCAGTTTCATCCACATTAGAAAACCAGGATGGTACACGGGTGAAGGAAAGCGATGAAGCAATGTCACCTGCAGGTAGAGTGGATGAAAAAATTGATCAGTTATCTGAGAAAAATGATAATGAAGGCTCTGAAGTAAGTGAAAGTGAGAAAAATCCAGAATCTGATCAGGATGTTGAGAGTCAGGAAAATGATGCAGAGGAAGATGCTGAGAGTCAGGAAGAAGTGCTAGAAAATAGAAATGTTGATGTTTCAGAGGAAAGAAATGTAGACGATGTTTCAAGCCAGGAAGATTTCCAAGAAGAGGAAAGAGTAGATGATGGCTCTATTGAGGGTGATGAAGAAGAGGAAGGAAATGACGGGGAAAACGCAGAATATAACGAAGCCTCCAGTCAAGATGATATGCATGAGGATGGTGGTAAAGAATTGGATGAGGAAAGTCATGACCAAGAAAGTCCTAGTGACACTGATGTCAAAACAGGCGACAAGGAAATTGAGGAAATTGATGAGGACGATTTCAGTGTAGATGACATAAAAGAGTTAGACGGAGATGAGGATGATGTAAGCCAAGAAGAGACACATGTACTTGACAAGGAGACTTTTGAAGAATTATGGAAGAAGGAAGCAGATTCTGGTGGAAAGTTAGAAGAGGAAGACAGCGTCTCAGAATCTTTACCAGGGCTAGAAAGTAATGTTGCACAGGAAAACAGTGATATTGTTCCTGATTCTACTACAGTTGATACATCAAGTCAGGCAGTGGGCCAAGAGGATGATACAAACTTGATAACAAGTAATTTCCCAGGTGATGATCATAGCAATGATAAAGATGTTCAGCCTGGTGAAGAAGGAGAAGGTTGTAATGAGAATGAGGACATTAGTGATACAGAGGGTGATTCTATAGGTTCATCATTGTATGATGAAAACGAAGATAAGGAAAAATTAAAGGACTTTGATGACTGTGATGAAAGTGCTGCTTCGCCTGAACAATCTAATGATAACGATACATTATGTAAAGATCTTGTAGATAATGATGACACACCAGTGATGGAGGAAGAGGAAATGGATACAGGCGATGCAAACGACAATGTCATGGAGACTGATATAAACAATGAACAATTAGAGGATGTGTCTCAAGAATCTACTAATATAGACCAAGAAAACGACCGAAGTTCCGAGGGAGAAATTGACGACGATGAAGATGACAGTAATATTGCAAATGCAGGCCAGGATGAAACTGCTAGTTCTGATGGAGAAATTAATGATGAGGATGATGTGAAAAATGAAGAAATGAAGATTTATAAAGATGAAAAGGATGATGAAAGTGAATCCGTACCAATGAGTGACGATGAAAGTGATAATGTGCATAATATTGGAGGATCAGCTGAAGGTGATACAGAGTCTCAAGAACAGTTGATGGACAGTTCAGGAGACCAAAGACAGCCTCAGAACTCTGTTGGCCAGTTCAACGTAGAACAAGGTGACAGCGACAAGGATGATGACTGGAATTGTTTGGACCTAGAAAAGGAGGCTCCTAGTCATGTCAAAGAAGATTCCAGCATGTCCGTTACACAAAAGGATGACACTGCAGATAAGGATGTAGAACCAGAGGATATTGATTCTCCAGAAGAGACAGAAGACATAGATTCCCCTGAGAGTGACATGGACGAGGAAGAAGGAGAGGTTGAGGAAGTAGCAGACAATCCTACGTCGCCCGTGTCAGAGGAAGAACACAATCCTACGTCGCCCGTGTCGGAGGAAGAACACAATCCTACGTCGCCCGTGTCGGAGGAAGAGCAGGAGGAGGAGGTTACCAGACAAGAGGACACAGAGAACATCTACAATGATGTGTCTGATGAGGAGGAGTCGTACAGTGACGAGGAGCAGGAGGAGGCTGTGCCTGTCAACAATCTGGTGGACACCAGGGTGGTCAATAGGAAGGAGGAAGTCCAAGCTGAACGCCCAAAGTTCACAGATCTGCGGGAGAAGATCAGAGAAGGACAGCTTAAATCTCAGTCTAGTCTTCCAGAGGATCATGTCGAGCTGGACTACGATGAGGATGGTATGGATGACGTTCCCAAGTCAACAGATGGTAGCAACAAGGACAAAATGGATGATAGCAGAGGCAATGATGACGATGGAAATCGAGAAGATGTGAGTTTCCTCATACTGCCTATGGCTGCCCTATGTTTACCCCTCAAATTAAACACATAATTGTCTTGTAATGTACTGGTACAATGATCACTGATGATATTCTTATCTCCTGTCATATGGTAAGTTAACAGTGCATTCATAGCACTGATTCAAGTTCAGAATAAGACATAATGTAAATTAATTTCATTATTTTCTATCAATAATATCATATAAGTATAATCAATGTTACATTAGTTGACTAAACGTTTCTCTTTGATTGACACAAATGTTTGTTTTACAGTCGACGTAAAAATTCTTGCATGTCATTGTTAGCAATTTTTGTTTCAGGGAGAAGCCTTTTCAGACCGGGACGATGGTGAGGTTGATGATGTAAGTACAATACGTGGAGCTTCACATTAAGTATTTCTTGTCTAAGTTAAATAGAATCTTTGCCCATTTAAGAGGCGAGACAGAAATTTAAACCCAGGCCAACTATAATTTTCTTACATGTCCGAACTGTGTCTAAAGTGGAATTCATTATTTTTCTCTGACTCCTGAAATGGAATTTGTTTCAGCAAAAGTAAAATTATCATTTCATAAAAATGTGACATCACTTTTATTTCCTTATTTATATTATGATAAATTTGTTTCTTCCTGATTGACCATTAGATAAATTTATATGCCTGATGCAATTGGTAAATTTGGTTTTTTTTTGTGCTTTATTTATTCCTTGCTATAAATGTAGGTACCTAGTATTATTTGATATGTGATGAATAGTTTTCCTTCTATTTTTCGTGATTTAATCATTTCCCAAATTAAACAAAAATGAGATATTCATAAAAAAAATGGCATTTGTGTTATTTTCTTAAGGACGAGGACTGCGAGGAAGGCGAGATAAAAGAACCTGGAGCACGAAAGCCTTTTGTCAAACCAATCTGTCGCTTCTACACACGCGGCCAGTGTACCTGGGGTAACAACTGCAGGTTTCTCCACCCGGGTGTCAATGACAAAGGTAAGGAGACAATAGGTGAAAGTTATCCCACTTTTTGTGTGCAGATGGTCAGGTCTACAAAGGCATCTGCGCTGCGGTGGCCAAGTGGTTAAGGCGTCTTTCATTCTGCTACCACTAGCTCTTTGCCACTGTTCAAGACCTACGCCAGGTACTAGCCGTAGGTTGGTGGTTTTTCTTCGGGACCTCCAGCTTTCCTCCACCACCAAATCCTGGCATGTTTTTAAATGACCATAGCTGTTAATAGGACGTAAAAAACAAACAAATCAAACCAAAAATAAATCCATCTGTTTTTCATGTTAAGTTCTATATTTATTTGTGTATCAGGCAGGGATGTACAATTTCAGATTTATAGATAACTGTTTTATAGACCAGTTTTCCAAAATTCTACTTTTCTGATACATTTTTCTTAGAAAACATGGAAATATTCACTAGCCCTGAATTAAAACCTACTAGCCTCGGGTATATATGTTTGGGGCTCATGGAATAATATACCCTTGTGTTTATTATTTGCTCTGCAACAGTTCTACATTCAACTTAAAGAAGGGGGAGTTCAATTTTGGCTCGGTAACACACGATTAATAACTATATAAACTAACCATGACAATCTGTATGGGTGTAATCACATTGAGCATGTATATGGTACGATTTGTTGTACATATTGTATATGACACCTATTTTCATCAAACAGGAAACTACAGATTGATCGACAGACCTGGGTATGATGGTCCTGGTAAAAAGGGCTTTGGAAAAGGTCCATGGAACCAGGGAGATGTAAGTTTTTGTTTCAAAGTCATTTGAGAAAAAGCCAAGGCCTGGCTGCAGATTCTCAAAGGTCACCCAGTAAATCACAATATATATGATAATAATAGACTTTATTTAAATTTGATAACATATTGAGTCGAGGACTCATCTCACATGTGGTTGACATAAAATATACAATATTTACAACTTGCGTAAAAAATATGATACATAGAACACATACACACATAAAACACATTAGGTTAAACAGGTAAAATTATAGTATCACAGGTTTCGAAAGTCAAGAATACATCACATGTGTAATTGTAAAACTAGTGAGTTGATTAAATGTCATGCAAAGTATAAATTCTCATATTACATTTTAGAAATTAAGAAACACATATTGTGTCTAATATACATACATATCAATATGGCAAGTTGTAAAATTTGACCAAATAAATGGCTAATATAGCATGAGCTAAGACCAAAAGAGATATAATTACCACCGCAAATATGACAACACAGTACTGGTAATTCCAAATTATATGTTGTCATCTTTAATTTTTAAGCTTTAATTTTACCAACTCTTTGTTAGTGCACTTAAGGTTAATATTTACATTACTTCAAAAATTAAAACAATTATCCCGCTTTGTTTGATTGAATGATTATCTGGTGGATTTTTACAGCCTTTGAATGTCTCAATACTTTATAAATTGTGTATAGATTTTGCGATTTTCGATTTTTGTTGTAGGGACCTTTTGAAGAGTTACCTCCCCCTCCAATGGCCCCACCAACTGAGTCAGCATGGGAGCGAGGCCTGAGACATGCAAAGGAGGTGAGATAACCGAGTCAGATTTTCTTGACCAAATTACATGACCAACTTTATTAAATACCTGGTTAACTGTACTGTAGTGATACAGCCTGTTGTAAGGCCATGAAATACAAGGTCGTGTATTTCACATTATGATAATACAAGATGTTATATTACCCCTGTAGCAAGAACTGTACTGGTATATTGCTTGAAGGATATATTCCACTTGGACTAAAGATCTTGTGGAACTTATTAATTCTTGCAATGGACTTGTGCGAGCTGAGGCTTCAGATAAACACACATGTGGTATTACCTGTAATTGATAATATACCTACCATACTTTAATACCACAAAGAATGTGTATTTGATAATATACCTACCATACTTACCACAAAGAATGTGTATTTGATAATATACCTACCATACTTACCACAACGAATGTGTATTTGCTAGGAAACTTTGTCTCAGTTGCCATATGGGTTCTATAAGCACTATTGTTTTACTAAATTTTCTGAGTTTTAAGTGTTATACAGTGTTGTAATTGACTACTTAGCCTTTAGTAAATCAAGTTGAACATGCTTTTGGCCCTACACAATACAAAAACAATATAAACAAGCTTACTTCTCATAATATTCTTGCTGTAGATTTCTAAGCAAAATTTCTCATATTTTGTTGAATTTGTGATTGTGGTATTGTTTACTATCTAGACCTAAGTCAGAGCATTTTGTTGACATTTGAAGTCTTGCATACTAACCCATATGTCCATTCTCAGCTTAATTTATTATGGCTCTTGTGTACATTTATCCTACTCTAGGTGGTATAAGTACAGACTAGGAGTGCTGTTCAGGCCCCTGTGCCTGTTCTTAAAAAAGTTTGATGGAAAGAAAATTATTTTGTCATGTAACATTTAGTTGGGGTGAACTGAATTGGTTAAAATGAATGTTCAGTATTAGAGCACATTGCTGTCCTATGCTACTTAAGGTATGGGTTGATGTATGTCTCCCTTGTCTCACAGTTTCCCTGCTTGTTTCCATTACAATACTACAAACATTAGGTTTTGGATTTCTGTATACTTGACCTCACAAGTGCCTTATCCCTTCTTATTCATTCTTTATAATTACCAACTTATTGTAAAAGTTGTCTATTATGGACATTTTTTTGAGAAATTTAGATAATTCTGCAACCTTTCTAATGTTCCAAGCTTTCTAAATGCCCAGGTGCTTTATTAAGTGCAATAGGAAAATTAATGTTATTCATCCAATGAAAAGTCCTGAACAGAAAATAGTTCAGAAGATTTTATCCCTTTGTGCAGTCTTTTAATGCATTCAATATTTTTATTTCAGATGGTAAAAAAAGCTAGTCAGAGGAAGGAAACCGATGCAAACTTTGAGGACAAGAAAATGAATTTATCAATTGAGGAAGACAGGGAATTCAACAAAGAAAATGACCGACTTAAATTTGACAAGGGACCAAAAGATCCCTACTATGACCAGGTGTAAGTCATAGTGTCTGTTAGCACTCTCAGTTGTATAGTGTCTGTCAGCACTTTCTGTTGTATAGTGTCTGTTAGCACTTTCTGTCGTATAGTGTCTGTTACCACTTTCTGTTGTAAAGTGTCTGTTGGCACTTTCTGTTGTATAGTGTCTGTTAACACTTTCTGTTATATAGTGTCTGTTAGCACTTTCTGTCGTATAGTGTCTGTCACCACTTTCTGTTGTAAAGTGTCTGTTAGCACTGTTTGTTGTATAGTGTCTGTTAGCACTTTTTGTTGTAAAGTGTCTGTTAGCACTTTCTGTTGTATGGAGTGTCTGTTAGCACTTCCTGTTGTATAGTGTCTGTTAGCACTTTTTGTTGTATAGTGTCTGTTATCACTTTCTGTTGTATGGTGTCTGTTACCACTTCTGTTGTATGGTGTCTGTTAGCACTTTCTGTTATATAGTGTCTGTTAGCACTTTCTGTCGTATAGTGTCTGTCACCACTTTCTGTTGTAAAGTGTCTGTTAGCACTGTTTGTTGTATAGTGTCTGTTAGCACTTTCTATTGTATAGTGTCTGTTAGCACTTTCTGTCGTATAGTGTCTGTCACCACTTTCTGTTATATAGTGTCTGTCAGCACTTTCTGTTGTATAGTGTTTGTTAGCACTTTCTGTTGTATAGTGTCGGTTAGCACTTTCTGTTGTATGGTGTCTATTTCCACTTTCTGTTGTATAGTGTCTGTTAGAACTTTCTGTTGTATAGTGTCTGTTAGCACATTCTGTTATATAGTGTTTGTTAGCACTTTCTGTTGTATAGTGTCGGTTAGCACTTTCTGTTGTATGGTGTCTGTTATCCCTTTCTGTTGTATGGTGTCTGTTAGCACTTTCTGTTGTATGGCGTCTATTACCACTTTCTGTTGTATAGTGTCCGTTAGCACTTTCTGTTGTATAGTGTCTGGTAGCACTTCCTGTTGTATAGTGTCTGTTAGCACTTTCCGTTGTATAGTGTCTGTTAGCACTTTCTATTGTATAGTGTCTGTTAGCACTTTCTGGTTTATAGTGTCTGTTAGCACTTTCTGTTGTGTGGTGTCTATTACCACTTTCTGTTGTATAGTGTCTGTTACCACTTTTTGTTGTATAGTGTCTGTTAGCACTTTCCGTTGTATAGTGTCTGTTAGCACTTTCTTTTGTATGGTGTCTGTTACCACTTCTGTTGTATGGTGGTATAGTGTCTGTTAGCACTTTCTGTTGAATAGCGTCTGTTAGCACTTTCTGTTGTAAAGTGTCTGTTTGCACTTTCTGTTGTAAAGTGTCTGTTAGCACTTCCTGTTGTATAGTGTCTGTTGGCACTTTCTGTTGTATAGTGTCTGTTAACACTTTCTGTTATATAGTGTCTGTTAGCACTTTCTGTCGTATAGTGTCTGTCACCACTTTCTGTTATATAGTGTCTGTCAGCACTTTCTGTTGTATAGTGTTTGTTAGCACTTTCTGTTGTAAAGTGTCTGTCACCACTTTCTGTTGTATAGTGTCTGTCAGCACTTTCTGTTGTATAGTGTTTGTTAGCACTTTCTGTTGTATAGTGTCTGGTAGCACTTCCTGTTGTATAGTGTCTGTTAGCACTTTCTTTTGTATGGTGTCTGTTACCACTTCTGTTGTATAGTGTCTGTTAGCACTTCCTGTTGTATAGTGTCTGTTGGCACTTTCTGTTGTATGGTGTCTATTACCACTTTCTGTTGTATAGTGTCCGTTAGCACTTTCTGTTGTATAGTGTCTGGTAGCACTTCCTGTTGTATAGTGTCTGTTAGCACTTTTTGTTGTAAAGTGTCTTTTAGCACTTTCTGTTGTAAAGTGTCTGTTAGCACTGTTTGTTGTATAGTGTCTGTTAGCACTTTCTTTTGTATGGTGTCTGTTACCACTTCTGTTGTATAGTGTCTGTTAGCAGTTTCTGTTGTAAAGTGTCTGTTACCACTTCTGTTGTATGGTGGTATAGTGTCTGTTAGCACTTTCTGTTATATAGTGTCTGTTAGCCCTTTCTGTTGTATGGTGTCTATTACCACTTTCTGTTGTATAGTGTCTGTTAACACTTTCTGTTGTAAAGTGTCTGTTAGCACTGTTTGTTGTATAGTGTCTGTTAGCACTTTTTGTTGTAAAGTGTCTGTTAGCACTTTTTGTTGTATAGTGTCTGTTAGCACTTTCCGTTGTATAGTGTCTGTTAGCACTTTCTATTGTATAGTGTCTGTTAGCACTTTCTGGTTTATAGTGTCTGTTAGCACTTTCTGTTGAATAGTGTCTGTTAGCACTTTCTGTTGTGTGGTGTCTATTACCACTTTCTGTTGTATAGTGTCTGTTAGAACTTTCTGTTGTATAGTGTCTGTTAGCTCTTTCTGTTGTATGGTGTCTGTTAGCACTTTCTGTTATATAGTGTCTGTTAGCCCTTTCTGTTGTATGGTGTCTATTACCACTTTCTGTTGTATAGTGTCCGTTAGCACTTTCTGTTGTATAGTGTCTTTTAGCACTTTCTGGTATATAGTGTCTGTTAGCACTTTCTGTTATATAGTGTTTGTTAGCACTTTCTGTTGTAAAGTGTCTGTCACCACTTTCTGTTGTAAAGTGTCTGTTGGCACTTTCTGTTGTATGGTGTCTATTACCACTTTCTGTTGTATAGTGTCTGTTAACACTTTCTGTTATATAGTGTCTGTTAGCCCTTTCTGTTGTATGGTGTCTATTACCACTTTCTGTTGTATAGTGTCCGTTAGCACTTTCTGTTGTATAGTGTCTGGTAGCACTTCCTGTTGTATAGTGTCTGTTGGCACTTTCTGTTGTATGGTGTCTATTACCACTTTCTGTTGTATAGTGTCTGTTACCACTTTCTGGTATATAGTGTCTGTTAGCACTTTCTGTTGTATAGTGTCTGTTAGCACTTTTTGTTGTATAGTGTCTGTTTGCACTTTCTGTTGTATGGTGTCTGTTACCACTTCTGTTGTATAGTGTCTGTTAGCAGTTTCTGTTGTAAAGTGTCTGTTACCACTTCTGTTGTATGGTGTCTGTTAGCACTTTCTGTTGTATGGTGTCTGTTAGCACTTTCTGTTGTATGGTGTCTGTTACCACTTTCTGTTGTATGGTGTCTGTTACCACTTTCTGTTGTATGGTGTCTGTTACCACTTTCTGTTGTATGGTGTCTGTTACCACTTCTGTTGTCAAATCAATATCAATGACACAGTTACTAACATCTTCAAAATCCAAAGATTCTCCGCTCGATACACACGTTTTCTCTTCACCCTTGAAATATGCCCTGGCAGAAATGAAGGGTCTGTACATGCCAACATGTATATAATAAAAGAAGATGGATGAACATTTAAAGAAACGCCCAGCAGGGTAGCTGTAAAATTGACCAGCTCTGAAGTCAATCATATATCGCTCTTCTGTAATCTTTAAAGGACAGGTATCAGTCTAGTGATTGGTCAGGTGTTTCATACCTAAATCAAAATTAAATAGCTAATTGTGTACATTTGATTTTGTCATAACGTATTCCAAGGGTATGGAGAAGATATGTGTAGCGCGAGACAAACCCGTGGATTTCAAAGATGTGTTGCTAATTTTTGTCGTCAAATCGGTTTTGGTGACACTGTATTACCAATATCTGTTGTCAAATCACCAATTTCTATGATCAAATCATCAATATCAATAATCAAATCACCAGTATCAATAATTAAATCACCAATATCAATAATCAAATCACCAATATCAATAATCAAATCACCAATATCAATAATTAAATCACCAATATCAATAATCAAATCACCAATATCAATAATTAAATCACCAATATCAATGATCAAATCACCAATATCAATAATCAAATCACCAATATCAATAATTAAATCACCAATATCAATAATTAAATCACCAGTATCAATAATTAAATCACCAATATCAATAATTAAATCACAAATATCAATAATTAAATCACCAAAACACAAATATCAATAATTAAATCACCAATATCAATAATTAAATCACCAATTTCAATAATCAAATCACCAATAACAATAATTAAATCACCAATATCAATATTCACATCACCAATATCAATATTCACATCAACAGATATGATGACGAGTACTATGACAAACCGTACCAGCACCAACGCCAGCATCATAACTGGCAGTCAGGGCAGTACGAGAACTTTGAGGTTCGCTGGTCACGGGAACCGGAATGGATACAGCCTGCCATGCAGCCACAGCATCATCGACCCCCTCCAGACCCCTATGTGAGTATAGTAACAGAGTACTCGTCACTCCTTCCAGACCCCTATGTGAGTATAGTAACAGAGTACTCGTCACTCCCTCCAGACCCTTATGTGAGTATAGTAACAGAGTACTCCAAACCCCTATGTGAGTAAAGTAACAGAGTACTCGTCACCCCCTCCAGACCCTTATGTGAGTATAGTAACAGAGTACTCGTCACCCCCTCCAGACCCCTATGTGAGTATAGTAACAGAGTACTCCAGACCCCTATGTGAGTATAGTAACAGAGTACTCCAGACCCCTATGTGAGTATAGTAACAGAGTACTCCAGACCCCTATGTGAGTATAGTAACAGAGTACTCCAGACCCCTATGTGAGTATAGTAACAGAGTACTCCAGACCCCTATGTGAGTATAGTAACAGAGTACTCCAGACCCCTATGTGAGTATAGTAACAGAGTACTCCAGACCCCTATGTGAGTATAGTAACAGAGTACTCCAGACCCCTATGTGAGTATAGTAACAGAGTACTCCAGACCCCTATGTGAGTATAGTAACAGAGTACTCCAGACCCCTATGTGAGTATAGTAACAGAGTACTCCAGACCCCTATGTGAGTATAGTAACAGAGTACTCCAGACCCCTATGTGAGTATAGTAACAGAGTACTCCAGACCCCTATGTGAGTATAGTAACAGAGTACTCCAGACCCCTATGTGAGTATAGTAACAGAGTACTCCAGACCCCTATGTGAGTATAGTAACAGAGTACTCCAGACCCCTATGTGAGTATAGTAACAGAGTACTCCAGACCCCTATGTGAGTATAGTAACAGAGTACTCCAGACCCCTATGTGAGTATAGTAACAGAGTACTCCAGACCCCTATGTGAGTATAGTAACAGAGTACTCCAGACCCCTATGTGAGTATAGTAACAGAGTACTCCAGACCCCTATGTGAGTATAGTAACAGAGTACTCCAGACCCCTATGTGAGTATAGTAACAGAGTACTCCAGACCCCTATGTGAGTATAGTAACAGAGTACTCCAGACCCCTATGTGAGTATAGTAACAGAGAGTACTTCAGACCCCTATGTGAGTATAGTGACAGAGTACTTCAGACCCCTATGTGAGTATAGTAACAGAGTACTCCAGACCCCTATGTGTGTAAAGTAACAGAGTACTCCAGACCCCTATGTGTGTAAAGTAACAGAGTACTCCAGACCCCTATGTGAGCAAAGTAACAGAGCACTCCAGACCCCTATGTGAGTATAGTAACTTGTCACCCCCCTCCAGACCCCTATGTGAGTATAGTAACAGAGTACACCAAACCCCTATGTGAGTAAAGTAACAGAGTACTCCAGACCCCTATGTGTGTAAAGTAACAGAGTACTCCAGACCCCTATGTGTGTAAAGTAACAGAGTACTCCAGACCCCTATGTGAGCAAAGTAACAGAGCACTCCAGACCCCTATGTGAGTATAGTAACAGAGAGTACTTCAGACCCTTATGTGAGTATAGTGACAGAGTACTTCAGACCCCTATGTGAGTATAGGGACAGAGTACTTCAGACCCCTATGTGAGTATAGGGACAGAGTACTTCAGACCCCTATGTGAGTATAGTAACAGAGTACTCCAGACCCCTATGTGAGTATAGTAACAGAGTTCACATCTCTAAATCACAGGAGTCATATTTTTTCAAGTGAATTCTTCATGAAATTCTTTAGAGAAGTTGAGAATATTAGTATTGAATGATGTTCTTGTCAATGGCAAATTAAAGTATTCAAAATAAAACCTACAGGTATAGCTCACATATGTACATGGTAAAATAACATGATTTACAACAGTAACTCCCTACAAACCAACGTCACCCCGTCAGGATACTACGTGAGTCTAATAACACTACACAGGCCAACGTCATTTCTACTACACCACTTCATGACTGTTGTAACCATTTCACCCCTATGTTACTTTAGTAGACTCTACCATGCATTGATATGGATGAGTCCATTATGGTCTACAGTGGTGAAAGGGTTAACCCACTACATGTAAAAAGTACAGGTAAATACCTGGGTAGTAGACAGAAAATGTGCAATATAATGTACCATTGTATTACTATACTGATCTGTCATAAGATTTAGAACTGTTTAATTTGTTTCAGGTATGAGAGAGAGATTTAGAACTGTTTAAATTGTTTCAGGTACGAGAGAGAGATTTAGAACTGTTTAATTTGTTTCAGGTATGAGAGAGAGATTTAGAATTGTTTAATTTGTTTCAGGTACGAGAGAGAGATTTAGAACTGTTGAATTTGTTTCAGGTACGAGAGAGAGAAAAGTATTCACCAAGGCATTTATCTCCACCACCTCAGCATCACATAGAAAGGTTTGTAATAATGTTACATTAGTTTCAAATTCTTCTAAAATCTGCAAGTTAATATATGGGGATTCAAAAATTGCTGGTCTGTCATAAGAGTGTACTGAGATTATTTAATTTGCACCTAATATGTTAAACGTACAAATTTATTTCTGTCTGATATCATCAGTTTTTGCTCAGATTATTTTCAAATCATCAAAAACCAACGAACGTTTTTTTTTTAACTTGAAGACAATTGAAGTTAAATGGTATCATTAAACCTGCCATATTTACTCACAACCAGGTGTTCTTTTGCACCTGTTCAGAATTTCGACTTACTGTAACAGCAAAACTAGGTCACCTGAGACAAAGTCTAATTTAAATGTTTCCCTCCTGGTGTGGACAATTTATGCTATAAATGCCTGACACCTTTGCAATTTTCGTTTGTCACGTTCCAAACTGTTGGACCAGATTTTTTTGTTTGTGAAATAGAGACAGACCTAATGGTTTGATGTAATTTTGACAGAACCTTTTAAGGATTATAATAAACAGATAAAGCGGTTGATTGGCATGAACAGGCCACTTTTATTTGTTTTATTTGATAAGAACTGGAGAAGGAAAATAAAAGTCTTTATTTTGGATGAATTGTCTCCCTTGTCCCATTGACCAAACTTCTATAGGTAGATATCAGTCATTATCAATATTTTCTATATACATATTCAGGGGACAGGTAGAACATGTCAACCTGGGTCACACACTCTCATCAGTCAAAATTGAGCTGTGATATATGTGTAAAACCAGTATATATTTTTCTCTACCAATTATTTCTTACAACTCATGTCAGTGCCTTAGTGAATGTACAGCTAATAACTCTCTTTCCCTCTGATTGGAAAATACATTTTGGAATTATTTCCAGTTTGCATCTCACCACTTTTGACAAATATACTGACTTGTGTTCTATAGCAAATTTGAATAGGCACCAATGTAGGGTATAGTTCAGTATAGTATAGTAACAGAACATTGAATGCACAGGATAATTGGGCAACCAATGATATTTGTAGAAACACAAATGTCAATCTCAAAAATGATGCGACAACAACATAAACTGAGGATATCTAAATATATGTTACAAGTTGCTCCTATATAGATCATTTAAGTGTCTCTATGCTCATCATCAGCAATGGTTTGTATAAATCCTACATTTGGCGTAGATTTTCTGATGATTTACGTGCTGTCTGATTTTGATTTAATTGGTGTACTTTAACCCTTTCACCCCTATGTAACTTAAGTAGACTCTACCATGCATTGATTTGGATGAGTCCATTGTGGTCTACAGTGGTGAAAGGGTTATTGAAAATATTCAACACACTTTGTTGAAAATTAGAAGCCAATGTATAAAACAAAGAAAGTTAAGGTAACATATTGGTACTTGTGAGAACTGTTTTCTGTTTTCTGTTTTCCTACACTTGTGATTTTATTTACAAGATGTTAACAAGATCACATCCTTATATGACCTTAGCTGTTGATAGGGCGTTTAACAATATAAAACCAATATCAAACCAATTTACAAGATCTTTCACCAAAAATAAAAAAAATAATCCAACAGTATGTTTTATAAGTTTGCTTTGTGTTGTTGTACTATCCAACTGTTTTACTTGCCACAGGTTTGATCGTCACCGTGATAATAGACGACGAGGAGAGTGGGAAGGTGAACGGCCTGAGCCACCGATTCAGCACCAACATCACCAGCCCCGACCCCGGCCAGCCGACTCGTGGCACGACCCCTGGAGAAGGTGACAATAACAATTATTTCTCTCCTCACCTCTTTCTCTTCTCATACTATAGATTGAAATGCTATTAAAAAAAAATATTATATTATAAGAATATATCTGCCCAAGTTTGAAATCTGAAAACAAATAAGGATTGAACTGCGCTTTATTAATACCCAAATAGAACAATTGTAAGATTTTATTTATTTGTTCTTGAATAATTCATTTATTAACTGCGTTTTGTATATGCAACCTCCTTTAAATGACATTGGCGGAAAAGGCCTATTTAAATAAAATTGGCGCCAATAATTAATCGTAGTTATTTGAGCATTTGACACAGGGACATTCTCCATGTTATCCAAAGCGAAGTGACAAGAGTCTCATTGAACAAGGTTAATCTATGAAGTCATAAGTAAACTACTTGATACGTCACAAGAGTTTTTGCTTTCATACTCAAATGAAATACAATTCTGCTGGTAATGTTCATAAAGTGGGTTGCAGTGCAAAAATGTAAATATAGTCGAAAATTGGGAAAATAAAATCTCGTCTGAACAACAATTTATTACACCATTTTGTTTTGCTAAAAAACCTCATCATGTCACTATCTGTTTTGATTTGATTCCTGTGAATGTTTGTGCTTTATAAAATTGTTGATGTGCTCAATGTACAATCTGTGATTGTGATGTCTTAACACCAGAATAGTGATTTGTCTTTACACAATAATCCTATTTACAGGTCAAAGTCTCCAAAAAGGAAACCTAGAACGTCCCGCAGTCATTCCCGAGGACGGCGGAGAGCCCGGCGATCCCACAGTTACTCCTCCTCATTCTCATCTAGGTAACAAGTCACACGTCATCAGCTGTCAACCATTTCATCCCTAGATAACTTCAGTAGACTCTACCATGTATTCATCCCTAGATAACTTCAGTAGACTCTACCATGTATTCACCCCTAGATAACTTCAGTAGACTCTACCTTGTATTTATGGGGATGAGTCTATTAGGGTCTATGGTGGTGAAAGGGTTAAAGTATCCTTAAGTTTGTTAGGTGTTCAACATTTATAACCAAAAGTCTTGTCCAATGTAGGATCGTCAGTTTCCATTCCTCAGTTTTGTTGATACATTGGCAATATGGCAGCATTCATAACAGATACATCTCAATTGTTGTGTCGCCTGCAACGCAAGGCGACATATAGGTGTTACTTTGTCGGCATCGGTTGTGTCGTCTGAAACAAGGTTTTTGTGCGATAACTTCAGTTCCCTTTGGTTGATTGAACTAAAACTTGGTCCACATATTGCATACCAATATAGCTCGGACAAGTATGATTTCAGAAGTTAATGTGCATTTTTAGGTCACCTGAGCTTTGCTCAAGTGACCTATTCCNTGCCCCATTTATTGCCAAATAAGGGCATTGTGTAGTAAATGTAAGAACTTTTTTATATTTTAATTAATTCCTTTCCAATTTTGTACGGTAATGCTAGAAACAATACTGTTCAACATAGATTACGGGTTTTTCTGTTTAGTTTCAACTTTCTGCATTTGGCATATCTGTTTACGTGATAACTCAAGCCAAAACACTTACTAAAGGTGCTGAGCAGGCGACACATCCACTCCCGTGGAATTCTTGTTGTTATTTATTGTTGAAAAATATTTGTGTACTTGCAGTTGTGTATGTATCCACTGATTCAATGAATATTTACAAAGTTATTGCCCTTTGTGCATTACAAAATAATATCAGGAGACGCATAGTAATTACCGGTATAATACACTTGTCAGGGAATGAAGTGGAAACAATTGCTCGTAGTCTTGTCTACAATACTCTAGAGCTACTGATCGGAAGATTATGATTCCACAGTATATCGTTGCAGAGTGTCATCCCCAATATGGTTCTTCCATCAATGTTAATTTTCCATAGATATTTTTTCACTACAGATATTTTTTGCCTGTCAAAACTGTTGCTGATGGAACACATTTCTATATATTATTTTTTTTCCAGTTCATTTTCAGGTTCTTCACGATCACGGTCAAGATCTTCATCATACAGTTCATATAGTAGTCACACATCAGCGAGCAGGTCCTCCTCTCCAGGCTCCAGGTAAGACCCACAGAAAGTCCTCCCCTCCAGGCTCCAGGTAAGACCCACAGAAAGTCCTCCTCCCCAGGCTCCAGGTAAGACCCACAGAAAGTCCTCTTCCCCAGGCTCCTGGTATGACCCACAGAAAATCCTCCTCCCCAGGCTCCTGGTATGCCCCACAGAAAGTCCTCCTCCCCAGGCTCCAGGTAAGACCCACAGAAAGTCCTCCTCCCCAGGCGCCTGGTATGACCCACAGAAAGTCCTCCCCCCCAGGCTCCTGGTATGACCCAAAGAAAGTCCTCCCCTCCAGGCTCCTGGTATGACCCCCAGAAAGTCCTCCTCTCCAGGCTCCTGGTATGACACACAGAAAGTCCTCCTCCCCAGGCTCCAGGTAAGACCCACAGAAAGTCCTCCTCCCCAGGCGCCTGGTATGACCCACAGAAAGTCCTCACCTCCAGGCTCCTGGTATGAGCCACAGAAAGTCCTCCTCCCCAGGCTCCACGTATGACCCACAGAAAGTCCTCCTCTCCAGGCTCCTGGTATGACACACAGAAAGTCCTCCTCCCCAGGCTCCACGTATGACCCACAGAAAGTCCTCCTCTCCAGGCTCCTGGTATGACACACAGAAAGTCCTCCTCTCCAGGCTCCTGGTATGACACACAGAAAGTCCTCCTCCCCAGGCTCCACGTATGACCCACAGAAAGTCCTCCTCCCAAGGCTACTGGTATGACCCACAGAAAGTTCAACTTGGAGGACAATTTTGATCACCGTATACTTTTATTCTGTATGACCCACAGAAAGTCCTCCTCTCCAGGCTCCTGGTATGACCCACAGAGAGTTCAACTTGGATGACAATTTTGATCACAGTATACTTTTATTCTCATGTATTTTCACACAGTTACGTGGTATGACCCACAGAAAGTCCTCCTCCCAAGGCTACTGGTATGACCCACAGAAAGTTCAACTTGGAGGACAATTTTGATCTCCGTATACTTTTATTCTCATGTATTTTCACACAGTTACGTGGTATGACCCACAGAAAGTCCTCCCCTCAAGGCTCCTGGTATGACCCACAGAAAATCCACCTCCCCAGGCTCCTGGTATGACCCACAGAGAGTTCAACTTGGATGACAATTTTGATCACCGTATACTTTTATTCTCATGTATTTTCACACAGTTACGTGGTATGACCCACAGAAAGTCCTCCTCTCCAGGCTCCTGGTATGACCCACAGAAAATCCTCCTCCCCAGGCTCCTGGGATGACCCACAGAAAGTCCTCCCCCCCAGGCTCCTGGTATGACCCAAAGAAAGTCCTCCCCTCCAGGCTCCTGGGATGACCCACAGAAAGTCCTCCTCCCAAGGCTACTGGTATGACCCACAGAAAGTTCAACTTGGAGGACAATTTTGATCACCGTATACTTTTATTCTGTATGACCCACAGAAAGTCCTCCTCCCCAGGCTCCTGGTATGACCCACAGAAAGTTCAACTTGGATGACAATTTTGATCACCGTATACTTTTATTCTCATGTATTTTCACACAGTTATGTAAAAATCTTAACAAATTCCTAAGTTAATATACATTTTTCATACATGTACAGAGGTAAAGAACTGTGATATGATAAAAGAATGGAAAACAGCTTATCTTCAGGTTCACCATTAGTCTGGTGAGGTGTGCGTCGTAACAGCCACTATTAGCCGTTACATTTAGACAGGTTCACCATTATTCTGGTGAGATGTGTGTCGTAACAGCCACTGTTAGCCGTTACATTTAGACAGGTTCACCATTGGTCTGGTGAGGTGTGCGTGGTCACAGCCACTGTTAGCCGTTACATTTAGACAGGTTCACCATTGGTCTGGTGAGGTGTGTGTCGTGACAGCCACTGTTAGCCGTTACATTTAGACAGGTTCCCCATTGGTCTGGTGAGGTGTGCGTCGTAACAGCCACTGTTAGCCGTTCATTTAGACAGGTTCACCATTGGTCTGGTGAGGTGTGGGTCGTCACAGCCACTGTTAGCCGTTACATTTAGACAGGTTCCCCATTGGTCTGGTGAGGTGTGCGTCGTAACAGCCACTGTTAGCCGTTCATTTAGACAGGTTCACCATTGGTCTGGTGAGGTGTGTGTCGTGACAGCCACTGTTAGCCGTTACATTTAGACAGGTTCACCATTGGTCTGGTGAGGTGTGTGTCGTGACAGCCACTGTTAGCCGTTACATTTAGCCAGGTTCACCATTAGTCTGGTGAGGTGTGCGTCGTAACAGCCATTGTTAGCCGTTACATTTAGACAGGTTCACCATTGGTCTGGTGAGGTGTGGGTCGTCACAGCCACTGTTAGCCGTTACATTTAGACAGGTTCACCTTTAGTCTGGTGTGGTGTGCGTCGTAACAGCCACTGTTAGCCGTTACATTTAGACAGGTTCACCATTAGTCTGGTGAGGTGTGCGTCATAACAGCTACTGTTAGCCGTTACATTTAGACAGGTTCACCATTAGTCTGGTGAGGTGTGGGTCGTCACAGCCACTGTTAGCCGTTACATTTAGACAGGTTCACCATTAGTGTGGTGTGGTGTGCGTCGTAACAGCCACTGTTAGCCGTTACATTTAGACAGGTTCACCTTTAGTCTGGTGTGGTGTGCGTCGTAACAGCCACTGTTAGCCGTTACATTTAGAATAAGATGTCGAACACATGTTCATCGGTCCCATTTTCACGACGATTCCTCTTAATTGTATTTTGTACTTCAGGTCATCAAAGTCCAGGTCACCTAATAAAGGTCCAGTAAAACGGGCTCCGGCTCCTCCTGTTGAAAGAAAAGTCTCTGGCCCTGGGGACAGAGACAAGTAAGTAGAACTCTAACACCTAATAAAGGTCCAGGAAAACGGGCTCCGGCTCCTGCTGTTGACATAAAAGTCTCTGGTCCTGGGAACAGAGCCAAGTAAGTAAAACTCTGATACCTAATAAAGGTCCAGGAAAACGGGCTCCGGCTCCTGCTGTTGACATAAAAGTCTCTGGTCCTGGAGACAGAGCTAAGTAAGTAGAACTCAGACACCTAATAAAGGTCCAGTAAAACGGGCTCCGGCTCCTCCTGTTGACAGAAAAGTCTCTGGCCCTGGAAACAGAGCCAAGTAAGTAGAACTCTGATACCTAATAAAGGTCCAGTAAAACAATAAAGGTCCAGTAAAACGGGCTCCGGCTCCTCCTGTTGACAGAAAAGTCTCTGGTCCTGGAGACAGAGCTAAGTAAGTAGAACTCTGATAACTACCTTATATGTGCTGTTTCAGGAAAAATGACCTTTTGATTGTTTTTAGCTCACCTGGCACGAAGTGCCAAGTTAGCTTATGCCGTGGTGAGGCGTCCGTCGTCCGTCCGTCGTACGGTGTCAATATTTTACTTTAAACGACTTCTTCTTAATAACCGAAAGGCCTAGGGTGTCGATATTTGGTCAGAAGCAAACTGGGATGAAGGGCTACAAAGTTTGTTAAAATTAATGAGCTTCACCCATTTTCAAGGTCACAGGGGTCAAATATGTTAAAACCTTTAAACATCTTCTTCTCGATAACCAAACTGCCCAGGGATATGATATTTGGCCAGTAGCGTGCTTGGGTGAAGGGCTACCAAGTTTGTTAAAACGAATGACCTTCACTTATATTCAAGGTCACAGGGGTCAATTGTCTTAAAAAACCTTTAAACAACTTCTTCTGAATAACCAAACTGCCCAGGGATATGATATTTGGCCAGTAGCGTGCTTGGGTGAAGGGCTACCAAGTTTGTTCAAATGAATGACCTTCACCTATATTCAAGATCACAGGGGTCAAATATGTTAAAAACTTTAAACATCTTCTTCTCGATAACCAAACTGCCCAGGGATATGATATTTGGCCAGTAGCGTGCTTGGGTGAAGGGCTACCAAGTTTGTT